GGAACCAGTGGAACAATTCACAGGAATCTGCGGATGTGTGTGGATAATACACAATAACAATTATATTTCACTTGTAGACACGGTAAGGCAGGTCGCCTGTTATTTGTTCCTTTCTGTCAGTGATATTGTGATCGCTAATATGTTTGTAGTTTAAACTAAACAAACATCGGCGAAGTAAGAAAGAAGACAGACTGAATAAAATTTAAATATAATTATTGGATGTAAGTGTAAGTATCTGTATTGTAAAAGGCAAGGCAGTCGAGTCAGTGATGTAATAAATTTATAATATTTCTAACAAAAGTTTGTTGCTATACTATATCTTAGCCTCCACATTAGCGTTGCTGTCAAGTTAATAGGAAATTGATTTGAAAAAAAACTTTTATGAATGTTTATTAGTTTATTTAAGTTTTTTTTTTTTGGTTGCTTGTTCAAAATCGCGGTCATTGAAACCGAAAATTGGACATCCCGACAATTCTAATACTAATATAATAAAAACGGTAACTTAATAATAGTATTACTAGGGATGCTTGTGAAGTTGTATATTAAGTTTTTACTTATGAAACCATTCACAGCTAGGATAGAGATTGAAATTACAAATCCAACGATACCCAGCTACTGTACAGTCTTGGCTCACATTAAGGCTCTCCTCCGAACTTCTACCCCCATATTATGGCAGCCAAACAAATACCGTAACAGAGCCTCATTCGTATGTAAAATGCGGACTTCCTGCGACGAACACATCGCGGCACAACTAGGATTACTTGACATTTCAAGAGACGCAACACTGCAGACGTTAGCAGCAGGCGATACTAGCGACCATTTTGAGACACGCAGCATTACAGACAATAATAGGGACATGGCGGGAAGACACACTTTTCGGCATGCGCAAAATGCGGTTAAACTTACTGCCGACATGTATCCGCAGTGCCGCTACGGGATGGGGATCTAAACCAGATGCCTGGGACTCAAGAGCAAATAAATTAGAGTAAGTTGCAGAAGATGGGGTAGCTGCTGCTCGTGAGTCCCAGCCATCTAGTTTAGCTGTTGGCGGTGCGGCATAGTCGCTAAAACAGGTCCACAATTAACATATCGCTGAGACCCCGCTAGAGCATTTGTTTCGTTATTCGGAGCTAGTTTTGCAGTGATTTGTTCCTCGACAGGAAGTCCGCATTTTTGCATAGGACTGAGGCCCTTTTAGGGTATTTGTTTGGCTGCCATAATATGGGGTAGAAGTTCAGAGGAGAGCCCACATTAATCTTTCTTTACAAAAATGTTGGAAAAAAAAAAGGCAACAGAGAATGTAATAATAAATTACTAATATATTTCTGATCCCTACAAAAGATTATCTTTTTTAAAGGAGAAATAAATGTACATTTTGAATATGATGATGAGTCTATACTATGAGTAATATTGGTATAGTTAGTAGGAAAGAAGAAATCAGCAAGTGTTAATTTTTCAACAACCTAATTTTACAGAAACATTCTTCACTTACCATGCTTTTGCAGCCACAGGAGCAGAGAATATTAAAGTTTGAAAATAACACTTTAAAGTTTGTTCAGTTTCCTAAACAATTCCAAAGTTAGGATACATTTTTGAACTAGTTTGACACTCAGAGGCTCAAAGTTCTCACAGAGTGCTGAAGGAAATTTTAAAGAAAAAAATGTCAGAAGTTTGGACCATTGCATACAGTATTTACTTTGTGCAGTTATCTATAGACTAATTTAAGTGTAGCTTAACCATAGTATGGTACTGTCTGAAACAGTCCTTTGGATGTAAATGTGGATGATTGTCACATACTGTACCAGTGAAACATTCTCTGTATCAGAGCTGCTGAATTCCCTAACCGCTGACCGTTCAGCTGCCACTGGTATAAATTGACAGCCCGAATCACTTTGTGAAAAATCTACCCTTTCATTTTTCATTATCCTTTTCAGAATTACAAACATCTGACTTAAACAATTTCAGAGCTTCAGCCTCAGAAAAATGCATTTTGCAGCCTTTACTTGTGGCTGGAACATTGGTGTCCTTGGCACTTGAACACGAACTTAGAATATCCATTGTTGAAAATGAAGCTAGCAATGAATCGGATAAACCTGCACCCAAATGGGTTCAAACATAGACTTTTATTAAAAGAAAAAAGTTAGTATAACCTTCTTTGAATACTTTAAAAGTAGTTCCGAACATTAGAAATAAATACCAGCCATATGCAAAACAATATTTACGAGACACACGATCGACACTGACAGTGTTGTTTGAGAAAATCAGAACTTCTCAATCAACACTCACAGCATCGCTCAGGCCTAAAGAGTTAAGTCAGTTATAAGGGGAGATATTCACATTTTAGTGAAAGGGATACCACCATTCAACATAGACAAATTATATGATATTTCAGGTAAAGAGTACGTAAACTAATTTCTCAGTGAGAGTCAATGCTCCCTGTTTCACGGTTGCAAATTTAATGGCCGATTAGCGTCTATGACATATATTATTATTAATAATAATATTATTAAAGTTTCACCCTTTTGCTTGTAAATATTAAATAATAAAATATTTAATAAATTTACAAATGCATTTAGTAAAATTATTTGTAATTGATTTCTTACGTTTAATTTCCCAGAAGAAATAATTGTCATCATCATCATCATAAACCACTTCTGCCGTTAAGCGTCGTGGAGAGAAATAATTTGTGATCCAGTGCACGTTGGCTGCCACTGGCTGTTGTCATGCCGTGAAGGCGTAGAGTGTCTTTAATGTTGCTGATCAATGTTTCCCGCGGCCGTCCTCTTGCTCTTGTAGCTGATCTTCTGAGATGCACTCGATCTGGTATGGTTAGGTTGGCTACTTTTCTCAGGCACCTTATCTCACAGGTGGTGATTTTGAATATATGGGCTTTAGATAGTGTCCATGTTTGGCACTGGTAGCTTATTGTTGGATTGAATATGCTATTAATAATCTGTCTCTCTGCACTCATAGTTATGCTTGGGTGTCTTAATAATGGTGACAATTGGTATATAAGTGCATTTGCTTTCTGACATCTGGTTTCTATTTCTAGAAATAATTATATACACAGAAAACACACTATTTTTTGTAAATCTGAAATGCAAACATGAACAATCTGTAATAAGTTAGTTGCATTAGATATCCTCTTCAAGACATCACATACTCTAACATAAACAATCTAATTATTTGCATTACATATCCTGTTCAAGACATCACAAATTATTACATTGGTAAGCCTTCCTGGGTATTGATAGCGTCATGCCAAGGTCTCAATTAAGAGGATGTCATCTGGTCCAGTGTGACTACAGGGATGCACCCTACCAGCCATTGAAGAACACCTACATGCCTGCTCTCTGGCCGTCAAACGAATGTGTTGTGTATTAAAAACCAACATTACAGCACTCAGGACATTCCCATAAGTGCTAAGTCACTATCTTCAGCGGCAAACATAGAGTTCTAATTCCAACGGTACCAATAACATTGTGAGAGAATATCCAGCTTACCCCTCCACTTGGTGTTGAGCATTGACTAGATCCCTTTCCTTACTGCTGCATTCTCATCCGACTGTAATGACCTGCTTGTGTCTTCAGAATCAGACAGGGGCAACACTCAGACTGTCGCTGTCATCTAAAGAAGATTCCATTATTGCTGAACCAGGCTCAGCCAGGAAAATGTCACATCTGTCTCCGGACTCTTTCACCTCACTCAGTTCTGTATATATGGTCTTTTTTTCTCCATCATATTGTACCTTTAGAGGCCATCAAATGCTGTCTGTGGTCCTGCTGGGATTCTGATTACTTCCCTGCAGTGCACATTGCAGTCGCCTCACTCACTTTCATATAAACGGCTTTCTCCTCATCATATTGTGTCTTTAGAAGCCAGTGAATGCTGACTGGAGTCCTGCTGATGTTCTGATGACTTCACTGCCATGTACACTGCAGTCCTTTGCTGTGTGTCAGCATCATACAGTGTGGTTTGTTTCCACATTTTCTTCTTATAGTCCCTGCCTTGTCCCTTCATGTACCTAGATGAGGAAAAACATCGACATTCTAAAACGAGTTGAACATCAGGGAGAACTGGCTCATAAACAGCATCCTGTCCTGAAATTGAAGCATTTTGGCCACATCAAGCGTCATGGTGGCTGGGAAAAGACAGTGATGGAAGGTGCAGTTTGTGGAAGGCGAGGCAGGGGTTGACCACCGCGACGATACAAGACATTGAAGATGCATTTTTATTGAAAGCACATGGTCCCGGACAGCTGGCTAGGGAAAGGGAGACTTTTGAGTGTGCCGTGAAGAGAACGACATTCTGTAAAGGACTTGCTGATTGATGATGAGGCGTTGGTAGTCATGTTTGTCCACAACCTTCTGTCTCCCATACTTTCTGTCACTTCTGACACAGATGATCTTCTGTGCCATGATGTCAACCTTTCCACCATCTTCTCTCTTGGTTGGTCTCTTCTGCTTTTTCTTGACTTCAACTTTCCCACACTCACAGCAGACTCCAGTTTTCTTTTCTCCTTCCCAATATCAGGCTACTGCATTTCTGGAGATTCTCTATCTGTTTTGGGCGAAACATACTATAAACAACCAGCTGATCATGTTGGTGGTGATGATACTAATAATGGTGATGATGATGATGAAAGTGATGATGATGATAGTGATAAAGATAGTGATGATCATGATGATAGTGGTCATAATCATGACAGTGATGGTGATGATGATGAAGATAGTTATGATAGTGATAATGATGGGGAGGATGCTGATGATGGTGATGATAATATTGATGATGAAAGTGATGAGGATGTTAGTGGTGATAGTGATGATGATTATCATTTATATTACTATTTCTCAGATGACCTTGGAAGATGAGTAGATGAAAGAATGGACAAGTTCAAGAATAATCTAAATGGTCCTATTTGTCTTGTGTTGACCGGCACCGGTCATCTCACTTCCTTCTGGCACATGGCCTAGACACATTCTTGTCTAATCAGACACAAGATGGCCACTGTGCAGTTGTGGAGTTTTCGTGCCACCGTTGTCATCGGTTTATTGTTGTGCATTTGGGAAGATGCATCTGCAGGTGTTTTGAGAACACAGGAGAACATGTGCAGTCACACAATGAAGACGTTATATGATGTAAGTAGAGTGTGTCACTTTGCATGTTACATCCTCTTCATACACTTAGTTAAGTGTGAAAGCGGGAAATGAATGGTACAGGTATTGAGGTAGACTCATGGGAAAAAAAATGCCATGGGATGTGTTGTGTGGAGGGAACTCATCAGGAAGGGAACGAGGAAAAAAAGAAAGAAATGATTGGAGAAAGGATAAGGAGCTGGGCATCTGAGAAGAAACAGACTAAACACAAATGTTGACAACAGTGGTCCTGAATGGGTTCCGGGGCCCTGTTATAGGGAAAACAAGAATAGACCCACTGCCTACCCAAAAGCATGTCATAAGAGTCAACTAATTTGGACTTCCTCCAAAGTTGGAGTTCATCTGCCTGAGAGGCAAGGAACCAGTAGTCTGCATACAAATGAGTCAGATCTGTAAAATGGATGCACACACAACAGTAAGGTTTTGGAACAGGACTGCAGTCCAGAAGTGGATGAACAACCAGAACTTTCTGCCAGAGTTTACAGCTGGTGAACGTGAAGAAGAAGAAGAAGAAGTGGTCATGAAATCCCATGCTATAATTGTTGAAGACTTTTCCTAACGTGGACAGGTCTTGCTAGTCACACTTTCCATGGGCTGTGAGTCCTATGCCTCCTTATAGAGCAATATAACATTGTCGTCTGGAAAGAGGGAAAGGTGCCAGTCAGGACCAATCAGTCACTTAGTAAAGAAAAGCTGCTTCTTCTGTTTGATCTGACCAGACAGAAACTGCAGACAAAAAAGTCTGGACTCTGCAGAGCCGGAAGTGCAGGCCTTGATTTGTGAGAATTCTCTAGAGGGGGACCACTGTTGTTTACACACAGATGACTCTGAGGTTTGTCAGTTGAGAAGCTGGTGGGATTTTTATGTTTCAGGTTGGAGTTGGAATTCTGAAGCAAAATTCTGGTGCCTTTGCCATGTTCACAAGTTGTCTGACTATGGAGGTCATGGCAGCGACTAAAGCAATAACATTGGTAGAGACACAGACCTTTACTCGCACATGCTTTCTCATTGACCCAAAGAGTATGCTCTGGGAGATAGAAATGGGCCAGATCCACAGACAGTTGTTTGAGTCTCTGAAGAGGTCGGAACTGACACAAATCAGTTTCATATTCGTGCCAAGGCCACCAGGCGTGCAAAGAAATGAGCAAGCCAATAGGCTTGCAGGTAAACCTATTGTAGAGGTTAGATGTGCCATTGGGCCGCATTAGCGCAGTCGATAGGAGACTCGCTTTCAAATCCAACTGTGACTTGCTGCAGCCAATGGTCGGTGTTCGAAACCGGGCAGTTCTCGGGATTCACCCAGCCTCTAGGAAATGGGTATCAGAGTTAACACTCTGGGGTAAATGGAGGAATGTCGATGAATGTAGCTTCAGAGTTGCGTGCGGACGGTGACACAGGTGGACAGTTTCTTATCACTGGTGGCAGAACACTTATGGTTTATAACCGTGTGCAATGACGCTGGTTCACATCTGCGGACTTTACCTTTTGTTTTAGACGTGCCATGGACCAGGCTTATATACTAAATGCTGTACATGAGGTAAGACACTTGCGAGGACCAAGTGATGACTGAATCTGCAACCATGACCAGGCTGCAACAGCATGTTTAGAAGGGTGTGGCCAAATAAGAGCACTATGCAGGTAGCCAGAATTGACTCAAGAACCCACACAGAACTGGTGTCGTCAGCCGCTACACACGCTGCAGGTTATACTGAAGAGGGGATCCGAGCACTTATGGACTCAAGAGTTGATGTGCAGTGAGCATAACCGGTCAACTAATAAAGTAGTGAAAGGACCCTTCTCCATGTCTTCAGGCTTTTTGGGCAAATAGGGCTAGACCTTTATTTTAAAAACCCATCAGCACTCGGTGGATGACGTAACTAGTAGAGACCTTTTTTCACACCTTTAGTGCAGCAGGCATATAGTGCTGGACGTATATGTGTCCCTGGTGGTTCCAATGCAAAGACATTCTTGCTATGTTATTCTCGGATGTTTTTTGTGTGTGTGTGCATGTGTCCTATCCCATGCCATCATCTTGTCTTCATCTCTTGATTCACTGAAATTTGTGTTGTTCTCTCCTGAAGCTCAACATTTGTGATTCTATCTTACTATTTAATTCCCTGTATCCTGCACAGGTACAAGTTAATGAATATTGTTAGCTTATTAGTAATTGTTTTACGGGGTCTCCATGGCGAAGTGGTCAGACTGTTTGCCTCGCGTTCTGAAGGTCGTGGGTTCATTTCTTAGCTGCGCCCTTCATTTTGCTAGTGCAGTTTTTACGGAGATCCCTGGGGATCGTTGCAGGAGCTGCAGAGTTCATGCTGTCTATGCCCTCTCGGCAGGCAGCTAGCCATTCTGTGGAGAAAGATAAAGCCTGGTGCATCAAAGTCAGTCCTCTTGACTTTAACCTTTAACTTCAACCTTTAGTAATTGTTTTAGTTGTTCTCTATGTTGTGTATACGCTGATTACTAATAGAGCACCCCTACTCCCCCTCTCACCCCCAGCAAGCATGTCATAACAGGCAGGTAATTAGGGGGTGTTTTCTTCGAAGTCAACATGCATCCGCCTGAGAGGTAAGGAACCAAAAATCTGTTTACATATAAGCCAGACTATTTAAACAAAAAAAAATTAGGTTCTGGAACAAGATTCAAGTCTAGAATTAGATGAACAACCAGAACTTTCTGCCGCAGTTCACGGACTGCTGAACGTGAGGAGAAGACAAAGAACATTCCGTTGCAGGCATTGGGTACTATCTGGGGCAGGGTTTTGAGCCTGTCATCACGTTGCAGGCACTGGGTACTATCTGGGGCAGGGTGTTGAGTCTGTCATCACGTTGCAGGCACTGGGTACTATCTGGGGCAGGGTGTTGAGTCTGTCATCACGTTGCAGGCACTGGGTACTATCTGGGGCAGGGTGTTGAGTCTGTCATCACGTTGCAGGCACTGGGCTGCTGTTTGAGGCAGGGTGTTGAGTCTGTCATCACGTTGCAGGCACTGGGTACTATCTGGGGCAGGGTGTTGAGTCTGTCATCACACTGCAGGCACTGGGTACTATCTGGGGCAGGGTGTTGAGTCTGTCATCACGTTGCAGGCACTGGGTGCTATCTGGGGCAGGGTTTTGAGTCTGTCATCACGTTGCAGGCACTGGGTACTATCTGGGGCAGGGTGTTGAGTCTGTCATCACGTTGCAGGCACTGGGTACTATCTGGGGCAGGGTTTTGAGTCTGTCATCACGTTGCAGGCACTGGGTACTATCTGGGGCAGGGTGTTGAGTCTGTCATCACGTTGCAGGCACTGGGTGCTATCTGGGGCAGGGTTTTGAGTATGTCATCACGTTGCAGGCACTGGGTGCTATCTGGGGCAGGGTGTTGAGTCTGTCATCACGTTGCAGGCACTGGGTACTATCTGGGGCAGGGTGTTGAGTCTGTCATCACGTTGCAGGCACTGGGTACTATCTGGGGCAGGGTGTTGAGTCTGTCATCATGTTGCAGGCACTGGGTACTATCTGGGGCAGGGTGTTGAGTCTGTCATCACGTTGCAGGCACTGGGTACTATCTGGGGCAGGGTTTTGAGTCTGTCATCATGTTGCAGGCACTGGGTACTATCTGGGGCAGGGTGTTGAGTCTGTCATCACGTTGCAGGCACTGGGTACTATCTGGGGCAGGGTGTTGAGTCTGTCATCACGTTGCAGGCACTGGGTACTATCTGGGGGCAGGGTTTTTGAGTCTGTCATCACGTTGCAGGCACTGGGTACTATCTGGGGCAGGGTTTTTGAGTCTGTCATCACGTTGCAGGCACTGGGTACTATCTGGGGCAGGGTGTTGAGTCTGTCATCATGTTGCAGGCACTGGGTACTATCTGGGGCAGGGGTGTTGAGTCTGTCATCACGTTGCAGGCACTGGGTACTATCTGGGGCAGGGGTGTTGAGTCTGTCATCACGTTGCAGGCACTGGGTACTATCTGGGGCAGGGTGTTGAGTCTGTCATCACGTTGCAGGCACTGGGTACTATCTGGGGCAGGGTGTTGAGTCTGTCATCACGTTGCAGGCACTGGGTACTATCTGGGGCAGGGTGTTGAGTCTGTCATCACGTTGCAGGCACTGAGTACTATCTGGGGCAGGGTGTTGAGTCTGTCATCACGTTGCAGGCACTGGGTACTATCTGGGGGCAGGGTGTTGAGTCTGTCATCACGTTGCAGGCACTGGGTGCTATCTGGGGCAGGGTGTTGAGTCTGTCATCACGTTGCAGGCACTGGGTGCTATCTGGGGCAGGGTGTTGAGTCTGTCATCACGTTGCAGGCACTGGGTGCTATCTGGGGCAGGGTGTTGAGTCTGTCATCACGTTGCAGGCACTGGGTGCTATCTGGGGCAGGGTGTTGAGTCTGTCATCACGTTGCAGGCACTGGGTGCTATCTGGGGCAGGGTGTTGAGTCTGTCATCACGTTGCAGGCACTGGGTGCTATCTGGGGCAGGGTTTTGAGTCTGTCATCACGTTGCAGGCACTGGGTACTATCTGGGGCAGGGTGTTGAGTCTGTCATCACGTTGCAGGCACTGGGTTGCTGTTTGAGGGTTCTCAGTCCTTCATAACATCTGACTCTTTGTGTTGCAGGATGTGTTCTACAACGTACACACTGAGCCAGAACATGAGATCAAGAGGAGGAGTGTGGATCAGCCTCTGAGGATCCATCTGCACTTCGACAAAAGTTTGGAGCAGCTGCCAAGGGAGCATCAGGAACTTGTTGTGGTCAGTGGGTTTTCACCTGGGAAATACTCTTAATAGGCATTGGGGTTTTCCTATGGGATGTTCCATTTTCTGTCTCTCTCTGTCAGTCTTTCTCTTCTCTCTCTATTTCTCTTCCCTCTGTCTCCTGTCCCCCTCTTTAACACATTATCTCAATAACACCTAGACTTCTGCATTTGGCTGGCTTGAGAATCAGCTGTACACACTTGGCGTGATTGTAACTGACTCACAGAGCATGTTGAGAAAGGTGGAGACAGGTATGCTCCATGCAGAGTGGCAAGCATAACTTCAGAGGTCCCAGATAGTTTGCATCCTTTGGATATTTTCTCCAGGTCATGCCGGTGTGTTGGGAAATAAACAGGCAGATAGACTGGCTGGTTGTGCACCACTGGTGGTGAACTGATGTATGACAAGCTGGATGTTGTAAGGGCCCTCTGGGAGATCATTATGGTCTGAGGAGAAGGGCGCTGCGAGGAGTTGTCAGGGGATCTGGCCGATGCTCAACACCCAAGGAAAAGGCGAGATGGATATACAGTCAGACAGTTACTAATGCCATCGGAATTGGAACTCTTCATTTGCTGCTTACGATGGGGGACGGAACGCTTATGGGAGTGTCCTGAGTGCTGTGATGTTAATTCTTGATTCAACCTTCTCAATTACCAGAAAGGCTAACCCTTCCTAGGTTAGCCTTCCTGGCTTGCAAAAGTAAGATGTGTTGGCCGACAGGTGCAAATATAACAGCCATGCTGTAAACACCCATGACGTAGTTACATCTTCCGTGGAATGCAGAAGAAGACACTATCTCAGTCTATATGTGTGCCTCAAAGATGTCTTTTTGAAGGGCAGACAAATTATATGAGTCTGCATTAACCCTTTTGGAAATATTTCTGATCTTTCGTTGTCAGGCTTTGGTTTCCTCCATGTGGGTTCCAGGGCCCCGTTGTGGAGAAAGCCTGAATAGGCTCACTCCCTACCGAGCAAGCATGTTTGTCAGAGTTGACTAATTCGGAGCTTTCTTCAAAGTCAAGAGATAATCTGCCTTAGAGGCAAGCAACCAACAGTCTGCATACAAAGAGGACAGATCTGTAAAATGGATGTGCATGCAACACTCATGTTCTGGACCAAGATTAAAATCCAGAAGTGGATGAAGAACCAGAACTTTCAGCCAGGGTTTACATCCAGTGAACATGAAGAAGGGGAAGAAGAAGACTGTTTTATATGTACACAAACATCTGTGAGTTTTCATATACTGTTATTCCCCGTATGGGTTCTAGGCCTCCATTTTGGAAATGTGGAGGGGGTTGGAGGTGGTGCATAATAGGTGCACTGCTCCCCTAAAAAGAGTGACATAAAAGGCAACAGTTGAGGGGTTTGCTGAAACTTTATGTGTCGGGCTGAAAGGCATAAATGTAGCAGCCTAGCTGTAAACCACAACACCCTTGTAAGGACGACAGCTGAAGAAAAAAAGAAGAAGGTATACTGTTATGTAGAAGAATACTTTACACCGGTTTAGACCTATATTTTATAGACCATTCAGCCACCTTTGCTTCCCAGGACTTTATCTGGTACTCAACCTAGGAGCCAAGGCAATTTTTTTTTAAAGTCTGACTCTGTCAGGACCCAAAACCATGACCTTCAGATCTGCAGGTGAGTCTCTAGCTGCTACACCACAGCGGCTGCTAGTTTATTTTTGGTAACCAGATACTTGTGTACCCTTATGCAGAGGAAGATCAGAACAGGCATGCTTCATGCAAGGTGGCATGATTCACTACGGAGGACACGGGTGAGGAGTATTGTCTGGATTATTTCCTGACTTGCTATCATGAACACTTGGAAACAGGCACCCATATGATGACTTGCTATCATGAACACTTGGAAACATGCACCCATATGATGACTTGCTATCATGAACGCTTGGAAACAGGCACCCTTATGATGACTTGCTTTCATGAACGCTTGGAAACAGGCACCCTTATGATGACTTGCTATCATGAACGCTTGGAAACAGGCATCCATATGGTGACTTGCCATCATGAACACTTGGAAACAGGCACCCATATGGGGACTTGCCATCATGAACACTTTGAAACAGGCACCCATTTGGTAACTTGCCATCATGAACACTTGGAAACAGGCACCCATATGGTGACTTGCCATCATGAACACTTGGAAACAGGCACCCATATGGTGACTTGCCATCATGAACACTTGGAAACAGGCACCCATATGGTAACTTGCCATCGTGAACACTTGGAAACAGGCACCCATATGGTGACTTGCAACCATGAAACAGGTACCAGTGTGGTGGCTTTCAGTCTTGAATACTTGGAAACATTCATACATAAGGTAATTTCCCATAATGAAACACCATAATGAATGAGTAATATAATATAGTTATAAAATATAGTAAATAATGAGTTACCATAACAAAAACTTGGAAACAGGCATCAGTATGGTTCCCATAATAAATGCTTAAGAAAAAGCCCTAATATGGTGACTTAAGATCTTGAATTCCCATAATGAGCGCTTAGAAATATGCATCTTTCTGGTTACCATAATGAATGCTTGAAAACAGGTACCCGTATGGTGACTTCCAGTCATGAATGCTTGGACACAGGCACTTGTAAGGTGACTTCCAGTCATGAATGCTTGAAAACAGGCACCCATAAGGTGACTTCCAGTCATGAATGCTTGGACACAGGCACTCGTATGGTGACTTCCAGTCATGAATGCTTGGACACAGGCACTTGTAAGGTGACTTCCAGTCATGAATGCTTGAAAACAGGCGCCCATAATGTGACTTCCAGTCATGAATGCTTGGACACAGGCACTCGTATGGTGACTTCCAGTCATGAATGCTTGGACACAGGCACTTGTAAGGTGACTTCCAGTCATGAATGCTTGAAAACAGGCACCCGTAAGGTGACTTCCAGTCATGAATGCTTGGACACAGGCACTCGTATGGTTACTTCCAGTCATGAATGCTTTGAAACATGCACCCATAAGGTGACTTCCTGCCATAAACACTTGAAAACACTGTTTTCAAATAACTGAAGGATCATTCTACAAGATTAGACTTGTAATTTGTTTATTTTAGTTAGTTACTTTTGGACTGGTTATAATGTGTTTATCTTTGGGTGGGCTTGTGGCTTGTTTAACCTAATTTCTCGTTCTGATGTGTTTTATCTGTAGGCTGACTTGCTGGCTGTTTATCTTGATTTCTTTCTGGTGTGTTTATCTTTGATCAGACTTGCAGGTTGTTTATCTTGGTCTACTTCTGAAGTGTTTATCTCTGGTTAGACTAGCAGGTTGTTTATCCTAGTCTCCTTATGATGTGTTTATCTTTGTTAGACTTGCAGGTTGGTTTTCTTAGTCTCATAATGATGTGTTTATCTTTGGTCAGACTTGCAGGTTGGTTATCTTAGTCTCATTATGATGTGTTTATCTTTGTTAGACTTGCAGGTTGGTTATCTTAGTCTCATTATGATGTTTTTATCTCTAGTTAGACTAGCAGGTTGTTTATCGTAGTCTCATTAAGATGTGTTTATCTCTGGTTAGACTAGCAGGTTGTTTATCTTAGTCTCATTATGATGTGTTTATCTTTGGTTAGACTAACAGGTTGTTTATCTTAGTCTCATTATGATGTGTTTATCTTTGGTCTGACTTGCAGGTTGTTTATCTTAGTCTCATTATGATGTGTTTATCTCTGGTTAAACTAGCAGGTTGTTTATATTAGTCTCATTATGATGTGTTTATCTTTAGTTAGACTAACAGGTTGTTTATCTTAGTCCCATTATGATGTGTTTATCTTTGGTCAGACTTGCAGTCTGGTTAGCTTAATCTCACTGTAATGTGTTTATCTTTAGACAGAATTGTCATCTGTCTGTCTTAGCCAGGCCGTGCGGTAGATTTTCTCAGTATGATGCAAGTCTTTGAAACGCCGCCACCAAAATATGTAAACTATATTTTGATTTTGCTGCTTATGCTACCCTTTTATGGTGCCACCTGGTGCGGCCATCTCTCGTGGCACGGCACGGCCCTATTCTTAGTCACTTTGTGTTATGTTCATAATTGACCAGAACTGAATCAATTTAACTTCCAGTCACATGTGAAAACGGCAGTACTGTTCTGGGAGTCCACACTGAAAGTCCGTGGTACAAACGTCCCCATCAAACTGCGACGCAAATGTCTGACGAACCAGGTCAAGTTCAGAGGTCGCACTACCTACTGTATGAATGGGTGTCAAGAGAGGACTGTGTGCGGAGATATCACAATACCACAGAATCATTTAGAGGTATGTCAGAAATATGTCTTTAGTATGTTTGTCTTTTCATTACTGATTTGTAGACAGACTGTTGATGCTAAATTTGCTAAATCGTCTGTTTTTATCTTGGAATACCGTTGCTGTTCTTCCTTAACAAAATAGTATCATCTGCAAAACTGAAATTCTCCAAATGTGTATTCTCCACCCAGTTGTGGCCGATATTTCCTTTACATTTCTTTGTCACCCTGTCAAAGAGCAGAGTAGATAGAATACATTAGGATTTCACCCCCAGATGGCATTGCAGACTAATCACTTAAACCATCATTGTGTGCACTACACACTCTGAGCGCTCATATATTTCACTGAAAATGTTTTTTATTTTATTTGTTTGGTATATTATAAAATTCCAAGATTGCCAACACTGATGTTCTGTGCAAGCTATGAAAGACCTTCTTAAAGTCGCTGAAAATTTGTTTCTGTTTTTAATTACAAAAGAAAGCATGATATAGTGTGAGAGTGTTAGCGAAGGACACCACTTTTAATTTCATAGCCCTACGATTAAATTCCTTCTGTGTGCAACATTTTTGGAAATATATAGGGTACCATAGGCATTCTTCTTTGCATTCACCAGCTGTAAACTCCTGCAAAAAGCTCTGGTTGTTCGTCCGCTTCTGGACTATAAGCCTGTTCTAGATTCTGAGTGTTGGATGCACATCCGTTTTACAGTTCTGACATTTATATGCAGACTGTTGGTTCCCTGCCCCTCAGGCAGGTGCACTTTGACTTCAAATAAAGCTCTTAATTAGTCAACTGTTACGACATGCTTTCGGACAAGCAGTGGGTCTGTTCTTGTTTTCCCTGTAGTAGGGACCAGAATCCACATGTGGAAGCCTGACAACTATTTGTTGTCTATAGAAGGAGGGATTATAACACAGGAACTTCCCCCACGTGGGTTCCGGTGCCTCGTTTGGTGTAGGATAGGCGGAATATACCCAGTGTTCACTTAACAAACAGGTCATACAATGTGACTAATTTAGTGTTTACTGAAATCACAAAATGAAACATCCTCACCTGCACAGTGTGTGGCAGCAGCACTAGTCGGGCGTCCCTAAACCATCAGTTTCATGCCCCTCACCTCCGTCTACACTGCCCTAAAAAAGTAGTACACACATACAGACAGTAGTGACAGTTAGACTGGAATCACACGTGTTGAACTGAACGGTACAGATATCACAGCCTGGCTGAATACCCCAACATAATGTACTGGATGAAAACAGAAGAAGGTGAGAACTTTAGATTCACAGAAATCTGATTTGGCAACTGCAGTTCCAACTTGGTAGCACACTATATAGATCTCCCCATTGCTGCTCCATTCCTATGCCAACAAAAGCCACAGAGAATGTACACTACTGTCTCTGAAAACATATGACAGACTGCAGTCCTAGCCAAGCCAATAGCCTACACATGTATTAAATGCATAAGGTGGCAGTTAGAAGTACCAGCACGAATTGTTTGACACTAGAATTGCAGTATGTTCTCAATAGAAGCGGCAGTTACAACAGATTACTTATAGCTGCATAGGCAATTGATTGCATAAGGCACCATCAGCTTTCTGGCAACAGGCCACTTCTGTATCTGCACTTCACAATGCAAACAATTTTGAACACTGTCAAAAAGCATTCCAAATGAAGTCTGAAACTCACAGTGTTGCACCATACACTGAACTCAGTAGCTGAGTGACAGAACTATATGATTTCAGTCTTTGTCTGGAGAAAAATGTGACACGACTCAACACAGTAAGCCTGCCTGTCCACCATATTGTCAAGAAATCAACATACATGTGTCTAGCCACTACATACAGGTCTCACTTTTGTTCTATACTGAGCATAAAGTCAGTATGAGATATTATATATATGCATTTTGTTTTTACAGGGTTGTATGTACTACAATCAGATTACGGGAGAGTATGTTCATGATGCGACCAATTCCACTGGTGTTGCTAGTGCAGACTTTATTCTGTATATAGCCACATTCTCCTCGAAGAAGTGCAGCCAAGGGCAGACAATTGCTTATGCAGCACACTGTCAGCAGGAACAAGCTTTAGACAGGTAAACTGATAGACAGGTAAACAGTGAGACAGGTAAACTGTGAGACAGGTAAACAGTGAGACAGGTAAACTGATAGACAGGTGTACTGTTGTACAGGTCAGCTGTTCCGCAGGTAAACTGATAGACAGGTGAACTGTTGGACAGGTAAACTGATAGACAGGTAAACTGTGAGACAGGCAAACTGATAGACAGGTGTACTGTTGTACAGGTCAGCTGTTCTGCAGGTAAACTGATAGACAGGTGAACTGATAGACAGGTGAACTGATAGACAGGTGAACTGATAGACAGGTAAACTGTGAGACAGGCAAACTGATAGACAGGTGTACTGTTGTACAGGTCAGCTGTTCTGCAGGTAAACTGATAGACAGGTGAACTGATAGACAGGTGAACTGATAGACAGGTGAACTGATAGACAGGTGAACTGTGAGACAGGTGAACTGATAGACAGGTGAACTGTTAGACAGGTGAACTGTAAGAAAGATGAACTTTTGGACATGTAAACTGATAGAGAGGGGAACTGATAGAGATATGAACTGTTGGGCATGTGACAGGTGAACTGATAGACAGGTGAATTGTGAGACAGGTAAACTGATAGAAGATTAACTGATAGATTGGTTAACTGTTGGACAGGTAAACTGATAGGTAAACTGTTGGGCTTGTGACAGGTGAACTGTGAGACAGGTAAACTGATAGAAGATTAACCGATAGATTATTTAACTGTTGGACAGGTAAACTGATAGAGAGGTGAACTGTTGGATAGGTAAATTAATAGACAGGTAAACTGTTAAACACATAAACTGATAGAAATGTGAACTATTGTACTGGTAAACTACGTAGGGCTGCTCTGTAGGGGTACTCCGGGGTCAACACCTGTAGATAAAAGGACAAAGAGGACACCACACAAATGAGGAAACATATTGACCCACCCAAAACTGTGGCCACAGTCATCCTAGAGATAGTCTTGACATCTTCCTTCTAAGTCGGAGTACATCTGCCCGTGAGGCAGAGAACGGCAAACAAATAAGTCAGTAAAACGGTTGTACATGCAAAACTCAGGTCCAGGTAAAAGCCAAAAGTCCGAATGGACGAACTACAGGGACCTTCCGCCGGAATTCACAGCCGGTGAAAGAAGAAGTACTGGTAAACTAATTTTTTTAAAAGTAAACTGTAAGACGGAAAAAAAAACTAGGTAAATTGTTGGGCATACATTAAGCAGGTAAACATCAGGAAAAACAGACTATTAGACAAGTAAACGTAGATAAATGTTACATAAGTAAAGTGCCAGAAAAAAAAAGATTTAGGTGAACTGTGATAGACAGCTAAAGTGATACGCTGTTAAACTACAAGAAAGTTAACTCTTAGACAAGATGGTCTGTAAGTAAGCTGCTAGGGTGTAGGCTGTTTGATAGGTAAAATAGATCATGACATGGGTTCAAATTTACAGCCAGTGAACGCTATGAGGAGGAAGACACAAATTATGGTACATCTCTGAAGCCAAATTTTATATTTGTTTAAAGCTCACTTAAACCTTGCTGTCCTGGTAACACAAAAAAAAGGGTCATGACCCCATAGGAATCCCCCCCAAAATTAGGTTTTTTTTTTTTTACACAGGTCACTAATAAATGAAACAAATTGTTTCTGTACATTTGTTACCCCCCCCCCCCCCCCCCCCCAACCCCTGAAATATATTAAAGGAGTTATCAGTAAACAGAGGGAGCATTGACCAGAGGAAGCACTGACCAAAGGAAGCACTGACCAGAGGGAGCACTGACCAGAGGGAGCTCTGACCAGAGGGAGCACTGACCAGAGGGAGCACTGACCAGAGGGAGCACTGAGAGCTTTCCTCATTGCCTAAACAAATCCAGTATGTGTTAGATGACTCGTGTTGACCCTGTGTCCTCTTTCACTGAGGTTAACAGGAAAATTTAGGGTCAGCTAGGCTTTATAAGCCATTTTGTTTGCAGGAAATCCCTCCAAAATGCTATATTTTACTGACCTCATAAAATGTTTCAGCAGGCGAAGATCCAGTCGGTAGCATTTACTGTGAGTCTTGTAAGTACGATAACTGTAGACAAATTATAGGTTTGCTTTACACATCCACTTGATGCGTACATTACATATCCATTTGCGGATGGATGCAGTCTTTCTGTAAATGTCACTTTTCCTATTTGTCTACAGTTACCACGCTAACAAGAACACACACACTATTTGTTTTACATGTCCACTTAAAATGTCAATTTGTGTCTCCATTTTGGTTCAAATTCCGTGTTCTATTTTCAGACCAGTCGCTGGATATTTCAGCATCTGCCCCAACTCGATATCTTCCTCGCGGCAGAACCAGCAGCAACTTCTGTCCACCATGAAACATGAAATCCTTCATGCACTGGTAAGTGGTTAGTCATATGTTTTGTTTGTTTGTCAAGGACATTCTTTAGGCGTGTCATGAGAAGACAAAAACTAGAATGTTTGAAGACAGCAGGAAAGTTGAAAGAAGAAGAAGGTCAGGGGAAACCAAGAGAGATTTGATACAGCATGACATCATTGCCTGGTTAAGCATCTGCACCAGAAATTATTAGGACTGTATGAGGTAGAAGACTGGGTAGGATGATGATTAGTGGACAGGTTTCTGTCAGCCAGCTTGTGATTTTAGGGCTTGGTGCGACACAGTGAATTGCAGATGTCAGCTGGAAGTCCTTTTTATCTGTGTCCAGTGTTGTTTGTGTTGTGAAGCGCTTATTATGAAAAAAATAACAGCAACAACTTCTGTCCACCATGAAACATAAAATCCTTCATGCACTGGTAAGTGGTTAGTCATATGTTTAGTGCACAGGTTTCTGTCAGCCAGTTTGTGATTTTAGCGCTTATTATGAAAAAAATAACAGGTAGCAGGTTGCCACAGAACTGGTGGTAGGCAGTAATGCCTGTGCAACTGATGGCTTGTTTTGACTACTGGTTCCATCAATAATAAACTGCAATTCTAGGGGCAGACAATAAGTGTTGGTGCCTGTGATGGCTTTCAGATGCATTAATACATGTGCATGCTGTTAGTTTTGCTTTGTGGGTTCTATGGCCCCATTTTGGGGATGACAAGAATAGACCTAGAGTGGATGAACAACCAGAATTTTCCGTCGGAGTTTACAGTTGCTAGAGCCGGAACAGCTGAAGATATGGACGAAGCGCTTATGGGAGTGTCCCAGGGGCTTTGATGTTAATTTTTAAATTCAACATATTCACATTTATACAGAAGAGAGGGTTACAAAACTTTATATTAATTTTAATATTTTTTTGACAGGGTTTTACAGCAAGCCTATATGCTTTTTACCGAGATGAGGAAGGAAACCCTCTCACCTCAAGAAACCCGGTTTCTGGCCGACCGGTTGAGTACAGGGAAGAGTAAGTATTTCTTCTGCTGCTGAACCCACTGATTTTAAAAATATTTTTAATAAACTGTTTTAAACGCATCTCTTCGTATTTTGTATTGTTTTAAATAAAGAACCAAAGAACATAGGATAAGACTAACTACCCGTGGATGGAGATTCTTGAGAAAAGCTGTGAATAAAACCAGAAGAGATCTTGTGAGAAATAGAGAGATTAGAAGAACTATTGGTTAAACTCAGCATGCAGTAAATACAACATGAAGATCAATGCAAACAAAACCGAAACAATGCAAGTTAGTAGAACCCCTGCCCCACTACACATACAGCTGAATGGTTCTGCCCTGAATCAAGTTAGGGAGTTTAAATATCTAGGCAGTATGATCACAGAAGATGGTAGAATTGACAGAGAAATAGAAACCAGATTTCAGAAAACAAGTGCACTTATATACCAATTGTCACCATTATTAAGACATCCAAATTATTAATAGCATATTCTTTCCAACATCAAGCTACAGGTGCCAAACATGGACACTATCTAAAGCCCATATACGCAAAATCACCACCTGCGAGATAAGATGCCTGAGAAAAGCAGCCAACCTAACCATCCGAGATCGAGTGAATAATGAATCTATGAGGCAAATAGTGGGAACGACACCTTGTACTAGATTTATCGAGAAACAGCAGATCATTTGGTTTGGCCATCTCGTTAGAATGCAGGAAGATCAAATACCATTACAAGCACTACATCTCAGAAGATCAGCTACAAGAGTAAGAGGACGGCCGCGAGAAACAATGGATCGACAACATTAAAGATGCTCTCCGCCTTCATGGCATGACAATAGCCAGTGGCAGCCCATGTGCACTGGATCGCAAATTATCCCTTCCCACGACACTTAACGGCAGAAATGGTTTATGATGATGATGATGAGAAGAACTATTGGAACAATGCCCATCATTTAATTAAGTGCAGTGGTCAAGCCATTTGCGTCTCGCTCCGAAGGTCGTGGGTTCATTTCGCTAGTGCAGTTTTTGCGGTGATCCCTGGGGATTGCCACCTTTGCCATTAAATTTTTCAGCCTCGAGCTGTGGTTTACTTAAACTCACACACTAAAGAGCTGAGCTTAAGGGTGATTAAAGATATCTGAAGGAGCTTGACAGAGTCACAGTGGGGCAGAAGTAGTTAAACTAATTCAAAAGTGTTAATGTAACAACTATCATTGATTGATAAAAGTAGAACATTTTATTGTCTTTGGAATGACCAGGTTACATAAAATGTATTGTCTGGCGAGGAAAGAGTCAAGTGTAGAGCTGAAATTGTTGTTTTTGTCTCAGGTCTGATCACAGGAAGATAGACAGATGTTGAATAGCATTGTTAATTATTATAGGGTGGGTGGATGGAGAGACAAAGAAAAGGAAAATATTCTTTAAATTAAAAAAAAAAATTATCCTGCAAATTTGATACATTTTGTGCTATCAAGTGTGGACTTTATTCAGAATCTCGTTGTTCTTCTTCTTCTTCATTATCTTCTTTTTGGGGGTCTCCGTGGCGAAGTTAGTTGCCTCGAGTTCTGGAGGTTGTGGGTCCATTCCACGCCTGCGCCCTTCAGTTCACAAGTACTGGAGCTACAGAATTTGTGCTCTGTGTGGCGCTCTCAGCAGGCGGCGCTCTCAGCAGGCGGCGCTCTCAGCAGGCGGCGCTCTCAGCAGGCGGCGCTCTCAGCAGGCGGCTAGCTGTTCTGCACAAAGAGACTAAGCCATATAGGATCAAATTCGATGCAGTGAAATAGATCCTCTTTTCTTTAACCTTTTTTTTTAACGTTCTTGTTTTGACTTTACCACTAAAGAAAAACATATGGAAAAATATGTTGTGGTTTACAGCAAGGCTGTGATATTTGCACCTTTTGGCCCAGCACATCCACTTTTGAGAACCAAATCAGTACATTTTAGGGCATGCTTGTTAGAGAACAGTTGGTGTGTTCTGTCTCCCTCCCTCCCCCCCCCCCCCCCAGGAAACCGCACTAGGAAAATCTTATTGGCTAAGCTACTTTTTTGTTGTTGCTGGAAGCAGGTGTTTATCCACACGATAGCAGAGGCCATAAGGGAGCACTGGTCGCTCAGCAGCATCATATCTTGGAAACTGAAATAGATTCACCATATTAAACATTGGGAGCCATGGTAGTGTAGTGGCTAGACACTGATCCAGGGCCACTTACCAGGCTTTTGTGGGCCAGATAGTTGAATAGTCCTGATACAGGGAAACTGACCAGGGATCAGTAGTCTTTCTTGATGGCTGAGATGTGAGGGATGTTCTGTAAAGGACTTGCTATATCAGGATGATCCCATCAAGCATGTCCTAGGAGTTGAGATGTGAGGGATGTTCTGTAAAGGACTTGCTATATCAGGACGATCCCATCAAGCATGTCCTAGGAGCTGAGATGTGAGGGATGTTCTGTAAAGGACTTGCTATATCAGGACGATCCCATCAAGCATGTCCTAGGAGTTGAGATGTGAGGGATGTTCTGTAAAGGACTTGCTATATCAGGACTATCTCATCAAGCATGTCCTAGGAGTTGAGATGTGAGGGATGTTCTGTAAAGGACTTGCTATATCAGGATGATCCCATCAAGCATGTCCTATGAGTTGACTAACTGGAGGTCTCCTTTAAAGTCGGAGTGCATCTGCCAGAGTGACAAGGAGCAACTAAGTCTGTCTGCCGCAGATAACAGCTGGTGATCAAAGAAGAAGAAAAGTATGATGTATTATGTTATCCGTATTCAGAATGTGCTCTTGTGTATTCTCTATCATTGTCCTTTTGTGACATATACTGATGAAGGCTTTCTGTGAGCAGCGTTCATTTTTCATTTTTGGTTGTGGTGTTGTAAAGCTGACTGGTTCTTTTTTGGAATGATATTTTCTCATGTATTAAGTCTGGAATCTTTGCAGTATTGGGATGCATCAGTGGAGTACGGCAGTTGTCAGGAAGGTAGTCAGACCACTTTGGTTGCAGAAGTCGGGGGTGACAGAAAAGACACTGTTTATGATGGTGACACCTAGGGTCAAGGTAAGTGTTATATCTGTCATAGAAGCGTCGCTGATAGAATTTTTGTTCCATCAGAATGTGTGATGTGTTCAGGTTAAAGGGATCATGGTATTTCCCCCCCAAAGGATTAAAAGAGGAAGGAGAGACTGAGGAAGACAGTGTGAGGGAAATCTTGACATCCCTATCTAAAGGTAACGGTAAAGTCGGGAGATGGGAACCGGTGTCATTGCACACGGTTATAAACCATAAGTGCTCTGCCACCAATACGGACAGCTGATAAGAAACTGTCTGCCTGTGGCGCCGTCTGCACGAACGAACGAACAAACTTTATTTTCAAAGGGCCACAAATTGGGCACACAGGCCCGTCTTACATTCGGCCCTTCCAAACACCTGTCTTTCACACTGCAGCTGTATTTTATCAATAAGCATGTTATATTCATACGCAACTTCTTAGCTACATAAATGTTCCTCCATTTACCCCAGGGCGTTAACTCTGGTACCCATTACCCAGAGGCTGGGTGAACCCCGGGAACCGCCCGGTTTTGAACACTGGTCGTGGGCGGCAGCGAGTCGCAGCTGGATTTAAAAGTGAGTCTTCTATCACCTGCGCTAATGCAGGCCCCTTATGTCTTTGGAAGGGTATCAACACACAAACTGATATACACAGTCACAGATCGCAGATTGTGGAGAGGTATGACCGCCCATGCCAATCGGCAAGGCACTTGATGATGTTAGGATTAAGATAAGTCACAGAAGGCAAAATGGTCACACTGCTGTCTCACATACCCTGAGCCAGTGTGTTTGTTCTTCAGTTAAGTCTCTTAGCTTTTAAAATAATCAAAGACTTTTTTAGCAGTCCTCCTCTTCCTCCTCCTTGGCTTTCACCAGCTGTAAACTCCGGCTGAAAGTTCTTGCTTCACTCTCAATTCTGTTGCAGAACTTGCATTTTTTGTGCACATCCGTTTTACAGACCTTGCTTATTTGTGTGCAGAATGTCTTATTAGTTTGACTTTAATGCCATGGGGGCAGTGGGTCTGTTCTGCCCTCACCCCCACCCCTCCTCCCACAGTGATACCCTAGAACTCACCCGGCAATATTCTAGTGTAGTAAAGTTAACTGTGATTGGAGAGCCGGGATAGTACATTGGCTAGACACACGTCTACTGGCCTGAATTTCATAGGTTTGCATCCAAATTGAGTCCGACTTTTTTAACAGTTGACCTTGGCTCCCAGGTCGTCCCAGCCTAAAATGGATACCAGGTAATGTACTGGGAAGTAAAGGCGGCAAGCGTGATGTTGACAACATCACCTACAGAGTGTGAGGTTGCTCTATGAAAATATGAGTCTACCATCATATGCCGAGGAGCCACTAGTGTGAAAAGCATCCTGTGTTTTAGAAAAACAAAATGAATTCTTCTTCTTGTGTTTGCCTGAAATAGATTATCCATATCTGCAATGTTGTTTTTAGTATGAAATTCATTGTCTGTTGTAATTCACTCAGCGACCCACAAAGCTTGGCTTGCACCGATGTTTCTCTTGGCCAGAAGTTGTGCCTTGATGTGTTGTATCTGTTACAGTCTTGGAGGACGTGATCTGTTGTCTCAGATGCCAATCCACATGCGCACATGGCACAATTGAATGAGAGCTGGGGTGGCGCTGTAGTTAGTTGTGTGCCTGCCTGCAAGGACACATGTCCGGTTCAATTCCTGGATGTGGTAGTATTTTTTTTCTGAGGAGTACGGTGCCTGTGTTGACCCACAACCATAAAAACATGTACCAGTCATTATCCAGGAAATTGTCTGGGAAGGAAGGTGAAAAGAGAGGAAATGCTCACTCCACCTCATATTTTATGGCCTAGGATACTAGTAGGCAACTGTCAGTCCCTACACGACCATGGAACTATGGTATTGATTTAGGTAACAGCGTCTGCTCTGACTGTACAGTCCAGTGTGGGAGTGGCAGTCTCTGCCACACAGACTACATAAAAATGTTACTCTGTTAGTCTGAGTATGTTTTTCTCTCAGCCGTCTCCTTTCTATAGCTTGCTGTATTTGGCCTCTTTCAAACTGCGACTGTCCATCTTTCACTGTCTACCCCCAAAGGAGTCAGTCTGCAGCTGATCTCTCCCAAGTGTCTGTCGATCTTGATATCTTTCACGCCAGGTTTGCATATATCCTTATAGCCTTCTTGCAGATCTTATCCGTGTTACCAGTTCACCATAAGGAAATGTGATTATCTACACAGATGGTTCTGTGTTGAGAGAGAACAGAAGTGCTTGGGGCTTTGTAGCAAAAGCCAATCAGTCCACTCTTACGACAGGATTTTGGGTAGGCAGTGGGCTTATTTTTGTTTTCCCCCCCCACTGGGGCCCCAGAAACCACACAGTTGTAAACGAGTCTCTTTGTATTGTTTGAAACAAAGAACCACAGAACATGGGATAAGACTAACCACCTGTGGATGGAGATTCTTGAGAAAAGCTGTGAATAAAACCAGAAGAGATCTTGTGAGAAAGAAAGAGATTAGATGAACTATTGGAACAATGCCCATCATTAAATTAAGGGTCTCTGTGGCGAAGTGGTCAAGCCATTTGCCTCTCTCTATGAAGGTCGTGGGAAAATCTTTAGCGCAGGACACCTTAGCATATGATACCACAACACATGAGAATGGAGGTGGAGGCGGTCACTGCAGCTTGCCGGTGGCTAGATAACAAGATACATACACATATGGTAATTATAACAGACTCTGAAAACATGCTGAAAAAGTTGAAGACAGGGATGCTTCGAGCAGAAGTATGAAGCTTCACTTACAAGGTCACGGGTAGTGAGCATACTTCTCCAGGCCATGCCAGCGTGGTGGGGAATGAACAGGGAGCCAGATTGGCTGGATCTGCACCACTGGGTGGTGAACTAATATGCAGATGTGGTCAAGGCTCTTTGGGAACAAGTATTGATGGCAGAAGAGAAACAAGATTATTATGGCCTGGAGAGAATGAGGCACCTGGGTGTGACCAGAGGGTCTAGCTGGCTCACTACACTCAGAGGAAGGGCAAGGTGGACATATAACCAGATTACCACCGGCAGTATTGAAACTCTGTGCTAGCTGCTGAAAATGGGGACGGAGCACAAATGGGAGTGCCCTATGTGCTGTGATGTCAGTTCTTGACTCAACTCAACAAGAGATCCTTTGCAATGCAAATATTGGCCTAGAACGTATCAAGGCCTGTAGAAGCATCAGCTGTGAGACTACCTGTGACTGTGATTCAGGTGTGACAGCAGAAGTGACCTCACATTTTTAGCACATAATTCCTTGATAAACTGAAAAAATCATTGTTCTTGTTTTTTCATTTGCACATGAAGGCTGCTCAGTTGCAGAATCTTTGTGATTGTCTTTTGTACAGAGACCATTCTTGTGGCTTCCTGACAGTTTTATGAGATCTCACCATCGAAGGGATTGGGGTCCTATGGTGTAACAGAAGCAGTGGATACATGAAGCTAAACCATCACTGTGGGGGGAGACATAAGACTTATCCCACTTTGCTTATCATAATTGTTTACGTGTGTGTTCATTTGTTTGCTGTTTCCAGGCTGAAGTCCAAAGGCACTTCAACTGTTCATCACTAGAAGGTGCAGAACTGGAGGACCAGGGTATTGATGGCACAGTGCTTACTCATTGGGAAAAAAGAGTATTTGAGGTGAGGGGCTATCTTAATGTGTCTTCCTCATTGATAATGGTGTTTAAAGAGACTGATTCTCTGCACATTGTGACTGTGTAGAGTGCTTCCTTTGGGAAAACGCAATTATTTGGCTACTGTGTCTTCCCCATTGGAAAAAAGATATTTTGAGAGGTGTACATTGGGAAAAAAGAGTTAGACCTCCCAGCTCCCTTCCCCCCCCCCCCCCCCCCCCCCCTCCCCCCCCCCCCCCCCCCCATCCCCAAAAAACTGATGAGTGTACATTGGGTCCACATTCCTTCCCTCGGACTGATCTCATACCTCAAAGATGTAGCATTTCTGATGGCAATGGAACTTTTTTTAGATCCGTTTCTTGCGGTTAACTGTTCTTAAATATCCTTAGCACCAGAAGAAGCCATCTAGAGTTCAAAGTTTGACTGATGCTACAACAGAGGTAATAAAAAATTTAACAAGATTTCTAATTCTTCTGAGAAATGCATAAGTTGGAACACAAACTGTTTTTCACAGAAAAAGTGCATTGCTATTTTTCTCTTTGGAAAAGTAACGAATTTCATTAACAGAACAAGAGTCAACCACGGGCCTAAAATGGCGAAGGCATGGCAGAATATTACGCTTCGGGGTTGTTTTGCCTCAGACAGCGCTTTTTTGGTGCATTTTCCACATGTGGACAGTAGTTTACCGTTTCGCTGCCTGAGCTAGTGAGTTAAGTGCTTGGTGCAGCCCTGTGAGCTGTGTTTTTCCTGTGGATTGCCTTTCATTTGTGCAGCAGTTGTGTTGTGGTGTTCAGTATGGCTGGTTGCCGGTTTACGTATGAGTTGGTGGAATACCTTATGCAGTAATTCTAGATGTGCATGGCCAACTTGTGGTGCCCAAATAATTCTATCAATGACGGACTGCATTTCTGGTGGTGAATATTAGCTTTTTGCGCCTCTAGCAACTAAAATGTGGATTTTGCTGCTTGTGCATATTTCTAGATTGGTCCGGGGCTAATTGTTTGTTAACCAGTTTTTCACATGGGTCAGTGACGGACATTTATTTTAATTTGCACTGGCACAAAAACAGAGCAAGTATGGGGAAACCTGACTGCAGTGAAGTTGAAACTTTGACTTGGACTAAGAGTCAGCAAAATCCAGTGTAACCATTGCTGTTTGTGAAGATGACAGACTTCAAAATCTTTTGAGAGGGAGAATTGGCTCATCCCTTCGCCTTCACCTTGTTTGTTGTCCCTTCCAGTTTCCTGCTGGGGGTTGAGACCCTGACCTTTTACTGGATTGCTGGGAAGAACAGGGTCCACCACGTTAAGGTGAGGTAGGCTTGAGCAAGAGAAGTGAATAGACATTAGGAGTCTTGTATGATGAATTATTGCTCCATATGGACCTCAGAATGTGTTATGGACTCCTACTCAATCATCGAAAGAGGGGGGGGGGTAACTAAAGCTTTTGAACTGAAATGCTACAGAAAAATGCTTAGGATACCATGGACCAAGAAGAATAAAACACCAACATCCTATATAGTCTGAGCATTGAGGAGAACTGGCTCATAAACAGCATCCTGTCACGAAAGCTGAGCTATTATGGCCAGGTTAAATGTCATAGTGACCTGGAGAGAATGGTAATGGAAAGTACCGTTTCTGGAAAATGTGGCAGAGGCAGAACTCAGCAAACCTAGATAGAGACATTTAACATGCAATGCCTGTGAAAGCACATAGGACTGGAAAACTGGCTAGAGAATGATGGGGCTTTCAGGTCTGCTGTGATGAAAGTGACGTTCCATAAAGAACCTTCTGATTATTGATGGTATTTGCAATATTTCATGATGACTGAATACTGTATACTATATTGCTTTTTTGTTTAGAATGAAGCCATGACGGGAACTTATACACAGAACTCGGTTATCTCCAGGATAACCCTGGCAATGCTGGAGGATACGGGGTAAGGTTTGTCTTGAAAGATTGTTGACTATGTGTGCTGAGAGATTGTTAACTGTGTGTGCTGAGTCATTGTTAACTGTGTGTGCTGAGAGATTGTTAACTGTGTGTGCTGAGTCATTGTTAACTGTGTGTGTTGAGAGATTGTTAACTGTGTGTGCTGAGAGATTGTTAACTGTGTTTGCTGAGAGATTGTTAACTGTGTGTGCTGAGTGATTGTTAACTGTGTGTGCTGAGAGATTGTTAACTGTGTGTGCTGAGAGATTGTTAACTGTGTGCTGAGAGATTGTTAACTGTGTGAACTTAGCGATTGTTAACTATGTGTGCTGAGAGATTGTTAACTGTGTGTGCTGAGAGATTGTTAACTGTGTGTGCTGAGAAAATGGTAAATGTGTTTGCTGCGATAGATATTGTGTTAAAATAGATTAAATCCATGGGTGTGAGGAAAAAATATTTTTTAAGTAAAGAATTCTGTATGTTCATATGGTGTCACTTTATACGGTTCTTAAATACAGGTTGTGAATAAATGTGATGACAGTTGTACAGAGTTGTTCGTTTTATGTTATAGAATGATAAGAACCAATTGGCTTGTAAATAAGTTCTTGAAAATATCCCAGAACCGACAAAACTTAACTGTCTTGCCCGAGACACCACTGCGCCACTGTTATGTGCTGAACTCACTTTGCCAGAGGTCAGAGGCGTGATTGCCACACAGGCACAGAGGCACTATATAGTTGATGTGAAAAATGAACAGGAATATAGAAATACACTTTGTTATACTATTCAAGTAGCAAAAAGTTGTGTGTAGGAGGGACTATCAGATGGCGTTTGTGTGATGCGCCTGTGTGCACATACGTGCACGTGCATGCAGCACAGTTTTTGTGGGGGACAACTCTGTGTGTGCTATGTATATAGTTATGTGGTGATGTATGTGTGTGACGGAGAAGACTCTATCAGTGTATGCTTGTAAAACACAGAGTTGATGTGGTAGACTCTATAGTACAATACAGAGTTGATGTGGTGGACTCTTATACAACATAGAGTTGATGTGGTAGACTCTATCAGTGGTCGTACAACATAGAGTTTCCTGGTAGATTATCAGTGTGTGCTTGTACAAAAAGTTGTGTGTAGGAGACTCTATCAGTTGTGTGCTTGTACAACGTTGTGTGTGTGTGCTTGCATAGAGTTGATGTGACTCTATCAGTGTGTGCTTGTACAACATCAGTGTGTGCATGTCAGAGTTGATGTGGTGCCTGGTGTAGTTTAATTGATGTGACTCTATCAGTGTGTGCTTGTACAGTGGTGTGCTTTACCAACATAGAGTTGAGTGGACTCTATCAGTGTGTGCTTGTGGGGGACAACTCTGTGTGCTTGTACAACACAGAGTGATGTGGTAGACTCTGTCAGTGTGTGTGTACAACACAGAAAGTGGTTGACTCTATCAGTGTGGTGGACTCTATCAGTGTGTGCTTGTACAACATAGAGTTGATGTGCGACTCTATCAGTGTGTATGTACACACAGAGTTAATGTGGTAGACTCTTTCAGTGTGTGCTTGCAGAGTTGATGTGGTAGACTCTATGTGGTGTATCAAGCTTGTACAACATAGAGTTGATGTGGTAGACTCTATCAGTGTGTGCTTGTACAACGATAGAGTTGATGTGGTTGACTCTATCAGTGTGTGCTTGTACAACATAGAGTTGATGTGGTAGACTCTATCAGTGTGCTTGTGCTTGTACAACACAGTGTGCTTGTACAACATAGAGTTGATGGTGGACTCTATCAGTGTGACTTGTACAACATAGAGTTCATGTGGTGTATCAGCTTGTACTTGTACAAACATGATGTGTTGAGTTGATGTGGTAGACTCTATCAGTGTGTGCTTGTACAACATAGAGTTGATGTGGTAGACTCTATCAGTGTGTGCTTGTACAACACAGAGTTGATGTGGATAGACTCTATATCAAGAGTTGATGTGTGTTGTGTACAACAGATGATGTGGTTGACTCTATCAGAGTTGATGTAGTAGACTAGACTCTATCAGTGTGTGCTTGTAGAGTTGAACTCATAGAGTTGATGTGGTAGACTCTATCAGTGTGTGCTTGTACAACATAGAGTTAATGTGGTAGACTCTGGTCAGTGTGTGCTTGTACAACAGTGTGGTGACTTTATCAGTGTGTGCTTGTACAACACAGATGTGGTAGACTCTATGATGTACAACATAGAGTATGTGGTACTCTATCAGTGTGTGCTTGTACAACATAGAGTTGATGTGGTAGACTCTATCAGCTTGTACAACATAGAGTTGATGTGGTGGACTCTATCAGAGTGTGGTTGCTCTATGTGTGTACAACATAGAGTTGATGTGGTGGACTCTATCAGTGTGGTGCTTGTACAACAGGACTCTATCAGTGTGTGCTTGTAGAGTTAATGTGGTAGACTCTATCATATACAACAGAGATGTGGTGACTCTATCAGTGTGTGCTTGTACAACACAGAGTTGATGTGGTGGACTCTATCAGTGTGTGCTTGTGTATTGTGTGTACAACATAGAGTTGATGTAGTAGACTCTATCAGTGTGTGCTTGTACAACATAGAGTTGATGTGGGTAGACTCTATCAGTGGTGTGCTTGTACAACATAGAGTTGATGTGGTAGTACAGTGTGTGCTTGTACAACATAGAGTTGATGTGGTGACTCTATCAGTGTGTGCAGTACAACACAGACTTGGTGTGGTGGACTCTATCAGTGTGTGCGTGTGTGTACAACACAGACTTGATGTGGTGGACTCTACATATGTTTGTGTATGTATATAAACACAATCACTGTTTGTGTGCATGTGTTCAGTGGACTGTACTGACTGCACCCTTGTCTACAGCTGGTACAAGGCCGACTATAACATGGCCGGAGACTACGAGTGGGGGCGTGACTTAGGGTGTGAGTTTGTCCTCAACAGCTGCTATTACTGGATCAGCACCAGGTTGGCCAGGTCAGTGAAACTTTCCTGGTGTGTATATTTGTCTGGGTTGGTGGTCAGGTGTGTTTGTACCTATCGGATGGTGAGTGGTTAGGAGGAGACTATGAGAATGTGCATGTATGGGTGAGTGAGTGGGTGAGTAAGTGAATGAGTGAGTGAGTGGGTTAGCGAGTGAGGGCAAGTGGATTTGGATGGGTTGGTGACTGTGTGGATGTATGATATTTAGATTGAGTGGGTGTATGTTTCCAGAGTTTGCGTGAACATATTTTGAAGTACAAAACTTGAATCCTTTCAACTGAATTACACATATGACCTTGTAGCTTGTTACACTGTACATCTCACTCTAGAAGTCTTCAGAGTAACCACACAATCAGTCACGTATGTTGATGTAATTTTATAGTAATGCACCTGCCGAAATTCCGTAAAATATGTTATGTAGTATTTAGTTTGTATTGCCCTTGTGGGTTTTAGGGCTTCATTGTTTGGTGGGAAGGGGTTGGTGGGTGGGGATGGAATGTTGAATTTAAGAACCAGCATCACAGCACTTGAGACAGTGCCATAAGCGCTGTGTCTCCATCTTCAGCAGCAAGCCTAGGGTTCCAGTTCTGACGACACTAGTAACAGTCTGACTGTACATCCACCCCACCTTCCCCTTGAATACTGAGCCTCATTCAGCTTCCCTGGTCCCTCTTCAAAGCACCATTGTGCTTAGACCATGATAACCTGTGTGTGCCTCCAGACTGTTCGCTCACTGCCAAGGGACACTGACAGCATTTAGCATGTTATGCAACAGTTCATATCCATGTGTGGCAGAACCAGCCAGTCTTTCTGCTTGTTTGTTTTCCCCACAATTGTGGCATGGAAGGCCAGCAAATAGAAGCATGTAATAAAAAAAATGGTTATTTATGGTTTTGCTGAAATTTTAAATTTTAGGCCAATAGACACAAATGTTGCAGCCAACCTGTTAACCCCAACACAGCTGCCCTTTAAATGGCGAATTCAGAAGAAGGCGTAGAACTCTGTATCTTCTCATTATTTAAATTCACTTTGGGGAAAACATTGTTTTTAATTTCTATTATTCTTTGATTGCAGACGGGAAAGCATCCATCCATTCTGTGATCAAGTTAAACGAGGAGAATTGTGGACAGACTGCGCTCACAACAGAAAGTCTGTGGCTCTGTGCAACTTGGTTGAATACAATGAGCCATTGCCACCAATGTATCAGGTAAGGTTTAACAAGGCAGATGTGGTCAAGTCCCTTGGGAACAAGCAACGAAATTAGTAGAGAAACAAGATTATTATGGCCTGGAGAGAATGAGGCACCTGGGTGTAATCAGAGGGTCTAGCCGGCTCACTACACTCAGAGGAAAGGCACGACGGACATATAACCAGATTGTGACAGATACAAGCTCACAATTAGTTGACTATTATGACATGCTTGTTGGGGAGGCAGTTGGTCTATTCTTGTTTTCCCTACAATGGGGCCCTGCAACCCACATGGAGAATATTTGTCTTTAAAAGGTGAAAAAGGGGGTTGGGGGGTTGGGGATGAATAGCTTCACCACTGGTTGTGTATTTGAGCTGAGTTAAGAATTGACACTACGGCCCTTGGGGTGTAACAACGAGCCTTTTACCACCATCTTTACCAGACAATGCACAGATCCAATATTACTGTAGTGTCTCCGGGAAAATAAGACGGGGTCTTACATTAATTTTTGCTTTAAAAATGCACTACGGCTTATTTTTGTGGAAGGGGGCAGGGGTTGTCTTTTTTTTTCAGCTGCAAAAATCTTCATTTATTCATTCACTAAATTCTACGTTTATTTAAATACAGTTATGTCATCTTTTTCTTGAACATCTCATAGCTCTCCAAATCCTGAATTCTGACCTGAATGTCTAACGACTCCATTTCCTGTAGAACCATTAGCCTCAGTCTTTCATGTCCAGCAATAAAACTTTCCTTAAACAGCTTTTGTTGTCCGTGTAGCCTGCTCATGGGGCATTGGTAACGCTGCTGTCAGCGATTTTTGTCCCATTAATTCTTTACCCAGGTGGCGTCCGTGGCTTAGGCGTTGTGAGTCTGACTCGTAATTCCAATGTACCGCGATCGAAACCCACTGCTGGCTGCGTGGATTTTTTTCATGTTATGGGGCGTCGCAGGTCAACCCAGCCTATTATGGGTACCAGGATGGCTGTCCAGGGGAAATAAAGACAGTCGGCGTAATGCTGACCACATTACCCACCTAATACCGATGGTCTGAAAAAATATGGACGCTCTTCCCATATACCCAATGCACCTAAAGGCGTGAAAAGGGATCTTTACTTACTTTATGCAAGTCATAATCTCCTGCAACCACATCCATTAATTATCAGGTGCACAAACTAAGATATGTACTTCGACTGGCTGTTTGGCAACAGGTTTCTTATTCTATCTGACAGTTTAAATAAAGGATTTTTTTTTTGGTAAGGCTTTTTTAAAAGTATCCTGATAGTGATACTAGACCTTATTTGGGGTAGGTCATAAGGGAAACAAAATAGTATCAGGTACCACCGAAGTTGAATGTTCGTCTACCTTTCCTTTGAGTGTTGACTAGTTCCTTGGTGACTCACCTCTCTATCATGCTTTCATGAATAAAATCTATTTGTCTTCCTTTCCTTTGAGTGTTGACTAGTTCCTTGGTGACTCACCTCTCTATCATGCTTTCATGAATAAAATCGAATTGTTTTCCTTTCCTTAGAGTGTTGACTAGTTCCTTGTGACTCACCTCTTTATCATGCTTTCATGAATAAAATCTATTTGTCTTCCTTTCTTTTGAGTGTTGACTAGTTCCTTGGTGACTCACCTCTCTATCATGCTTTCATGAATAAAATCTATCTGTCTTCCTTTCCTTTGAGTGTTGACTAGTTCCTTGGTGACTCACCACTTTATCATGCTTTCATGAATAAAATCTATTTGTCTTCCTTTCTTTTGAGTGTTGACTAGTTCCTTGGTGACTCACCTCTCTACCATGCTTTCATGAATAAAATCTATTTGTCTTCCTTTCCTTTGAGTGTTGACTAGTTCCTTGGTGACTCACCTCTCTATCATGCTTTCATGAATAAAATCTATTTGTCTTCTTTTCCTTTGAGTGTTGACTAGTTCCTTGGTGACTCACCTCTCTATCATGCTTTCATGAATAAAATCTATTTGTCTTCCTTTCCTTTGAGTGTTGACTAGTTCCTTGGTGACTCACCTCTCTATCATGCTTTCATGAATAAAATCTATTTGTCTTCCTTTCCTTTGAGTGTTGACTAGTTCCTTGGTGACTCACCTCTCTATCATGCTTTCATGAATAAAATCGAATTGTTTTCCTTTCCTTAGAGTGTTGACTAGTTCCTTGTGACTCACCTCTTTATCATGCTTTCATGAATAAAATCTATTTGTCTTCCTTTCTTTTGAGTGTTGACTAGTTCCTTGGTGACTCACCACTCTATCATGCTTTCATGAATAAAATCTATCCGTCTTCCTTTCCTTTGAGTGTTGACTAGTTCCTTGGTGACTCACCACTTTATCATGCTTTCATGAATAAAATCTATTTGTCTTCCTTTCTTTTGAGTGTTGACTAGTTCCTTGGTGACTCACCTCTCTATCATGCTTTCATGAATAAAATCTATTTGTCTTCTTTTCCTTTGAGTGTTGACTAGTTCCTTGTGACTCACCTCTCTATCATGCTTTCATGAATAAAATCTATTTGTCTTCCTTTCCTTTGAGTGTTGACTAGTTCCTTGGTGACTCACCACTCTATCATGCTTTCATGAATAAAATCTCTTTGTCTTCCTTTCTTTTGAGTGTTGACTAGTTCCTTGGTGACTCACCTCTCTATCATGGCTTTCCAAATCATAAATAAAATCTGTCCGTCTGGCTGGTGATCTTACATATGACTTATATTATGAGCATCCTGAAAAATCATTCTTAGACTTTCTTTTAGATTAGGTCTTATTGCACCGGGTTTTATCCCATATGGCTCAGTCTCTCTCTCTGCAGAACAGCTGGCTACCTTCTGAGAGCGTTGCACAGAGCACAACCTCTGTAGCTCCAGCTATGATCCCTGGGGATCTAAAAAAAAACTGCATTTGTGAACTGAACGTCGCCACCTTGAAACGAACCCAAGACCTTCAGAGCACGAGGCAAACAGCTTTACTACTTCGCCACAGAGACCCTCCTCATTTATTAATTATAAATATGATTAATTTCTGTTTCAGTATTTCGACTCTTTGCCTGGTATTTCAAGCGAAGACATTGAGAAATATGCCGGTTCTGTAGCCCTTGCAGATTATTGTCCTTATTTGCAGGTAAATTATTTGTTGATATTGTTATGTCGCATGAATAGAGGAGCGGCTGGCCAAACGGCTAGAACACTGGGCTCTTGTGTGGGAGACCTGGGTTTGAATCCTCAGTAAGGCTGGAGATTTTTTCTGTTGGGGAAAAAAATAAAATCCTCACCTGCACAGTTTGTGGCAACAGCACTATCCATGCGGTCATAAATGCTAACTTAGGGAAACCTCCAGAATTGGCACCTGGAAAGTTAGATCTTTGTATAATGTAGGAAGAACAAGGGAAGTATTAAGGGTAAGGAACAAGGGAAGTATTAAGGGTAAGGAACAAGGGAAGTATTAAGGGTAAGGAACAAGGGAAGTATTAAGGGTAAGGAACAAGGGAAGTATTAAGGGTAAGGAACAAGGGAAGTATTAAGGGTAAGGAACAAGGGAAGTATTAAGGGTAAGGAACAAGGGAAGTATTAAGGGTAAGGAACAAGGGAAGTATTAAGGGTAAGGAAACATCAGGGAGCTAGATAGTGAAGTTAAACAGATGGGGAGAGCTGCCTGAGAAAGCAAAGGATAGAACAACTCGGCGTGAGTTGGTTGAGGGCCTATGCTCCATTGGGGGCTAGAAAGGCAGAAGAAGACAAACCAACCCTAGTGTTTTGTTAGCTGTTGTGTGGGTTTACTAGGAAATTTTGTGATGACTAGTTTTCCATTCTATTTTGAATGTTACGATGCTCAGATTTTTGAAATGAATGCAAAGTGGTGAGCTACCCTCCTTTCCAAGAGTGTAAAGCAGCGGTTCTCAATCTGTGGGTGGTGACCACTTTATGGGTCGAACAACCCTTTCGCAAGGGTCGCCAAAGACCATGGGAAAACACATATTCACTGAAGTTATGAAGTGGCAATGACAATTATTGTATGGTTGGCGGTCGCCACAACATGAGGAACTGTATGAAAGGGTCTCTACATTAGGAGGGCTGAGAGCCCCTGGCGTAAAGGGAATAGAAAATGTAATCACATCTGCCCAAAAACACAGTGAAGATCAAAACCTGGTGCTAAATTTAAAGAAAACAAAAATTTAGTCATAAATGTCCAGAAACACAGTGTGAAGATCAAAACCTGTTCCTGAATTTAAAAAAAAAGAATTTTAATGGAAGCCATAGCAATGCAAAGATGAAACAGAATTACAAATCTACCATTAAGCACCAGTAAGAAAAATCAAATTCTGTAGGACGTGCATCTTCCATGTAGTGACTGTAGTATATTGATGTATTTTGTAGGTTATCTCACAATCATTAAGTTATGGGAACAAAATATCTGCTCTTGAACTGAAATGCTATAGAAAGATTCACAGAATATTGTGAACCCAGAAGAAAAGACAAATGACATTTTGAAAGATGTGAACATCAAAGAAGGTTGACAAATAACATTTTGAAAGATGTGAACATCAAAGAAGGTTGACAAATAACATTTTGAAAGATGTGAACATCAAAGAAGGTTGACAAATAACATTTTGAAAGATGTGAACATCAAAGAAGGTTGGTAAGCTAACAACATTTTGTCTTGGAAACTGAAATAGTCTGACCATATCCAGTGCCTTGTGGTGGATTGGAAAGAACAGCAGCAGAAGACGTGGTCCCAAGAAAGAGAGGCAGGGGCCAAGCAGCATTAAGATGGGCACAGAATATAAGTTACACTTTGGATAGAAAAGTACCTGAGGCAGAAGAGCCTTGAGGCTGTGATGAGAGCGCGATGTTAACTAGATCAAAATATACATTGGTTAAAGTAATAACTTTTTAAAGAATGGAATTAGATGTAGTAAAAGAGTTAATTGACTTAAAGCAGATGTAAATATGACTTTAATTTCTATTTCAGGAGTTTAGCTGGACCAATGAAAACAATGTCCCCGTGAGGGGATCCAACTGTGAGGACTCTGAGAACAACTTAGGTGTGTGTCCTGATGTCTGTTTGGTGTTGTGTTGGGAACAGCTTAGGTGTGTGTCCTGATGTCTGTTTGGTGTTGTGTTGGGAACAGCTTAGGTGTGTGTCCTGATGTCTGTTTGGTGTTGTGTTGGGAACAGCTTAGGTGTGTGTCCTGATGTCAATTTGTTGTGTTGAGTACAACTTAGGTGTGTGTCCTGATGTCTATTTGGTGTTGTGTTGAGAACAGCTTAGGTGTGGGTCCTTGTGTGTGTGTTTGGTGTTGTGTTGTTGATAACTTAGGTGTGGGTCCTTGTGTGTGTTTTGTGTGTGTGCTGATGTGTTTTGGTTGTTGTGTTGAGGACAACTTAGGTGTGGGTTTTGTGTTCTTTTGAAAACTATGTGTTGTTGATGGCAAATTGAGAACGACATGTGTTTGGTGCTACGTTAAAAACTGTATGTTTTTGGTAATATGTTGAGAACTGTGTGTTTGCTATTTTGTTAAAATTAAGACCTATGTGTGTTTACTGGTATGTTGAAAACTATGTGTTAGTGTTCTGTTAAAATCTATGTGTTTGGTGTTCTGTTGAAAACTATATGTGTTTGGTGTTCTGTTGAAATATATATGTGCTGTTCTGTTAAAATGTATGTGTGTTGTTCTGTTGAAATCTATGTGTTTGGTGTTCTTTTTAAATCTATGTGTCTGGTGTTCTGTTCAAAACTGTGTGGGTTTGGTGTTCATTGAAATCTATTTGTTTGGTGTTCTGTTCAAAACTGTGTGGGTTTGGTGTTCATTGAAATCTATTTGTTTGGTGTTCTGTTGAAAACTATGTGTGTTTGGTGTTCTGTTGAAATCTTTGTTTGATGTTCTTTTGAAAACTGTGTGTGTTTAGTGTTCTGTTGAGAACTATCTATGTTTGTTGGTATGTTGACAACTATATGTTTCAGGTGATATGTTGAGAACTGTGTTTGTTTGGTTTTTTTGTTAAAACCTATGTGTGTTTAGTGGTATGTAGAAAACTTTGTGTTTAGTGTTCTGTTGAAATCTATGTGTTTTGTTGAAAACTATGTGTGTTTGGTGTTCTGTTGAAAACTGTGTGTTTGGTGTTCTGTTGAAATCTATGTATTTGATGTTCTGTTGAAAACTGTGTGTTTGGTGTTCTGTTGAAATCTATGTATTTGATGTTCTGTTGAAAACTGTGTGTTTGGTGTTCTGTTGAAAACTATGTGTGTTTGGTGTTCTTTTGAAAACTATGGGTTTGGTGTTCTGTTGAAAACTATGTGTGTTTGGTGTTCTGTTGACAACTAGCTGTGTTTGGTGATATCTTGACAACTATGTGCTTTCCTTGCTACCTAAAGAGTTTGGGATCTGTTGAAATTAGATGTGGTAGGTTGAATATCAAAAGGTCAGGTAAAGAAAAGAAAAACTGTTTTTGAGTCTTTAAAAAAAAAAAAAAAAAAAAAAAAAAACTAAAATAATGTCCACAAAAAATACAGCACACAAATGAGAAGTTGGAAAGCTGCAGTTGTCGCAGCCTAGCTGTAACCCACACACATATGCCAGCCTCCCTGTTAAAGGCAAATGTGCACAAAAAAGCACCCAAATCAAAACAAAACAAATGAAAAACTATTTGGAGCATTTTTGACTATTTGGAGAATTTTTGACTATTTGGAGAATTTTTGACTATTTGTATAATTTTGCTGCAACAGATCCAGCCAATAATTTTTTTGGAGAGACCTACGGGGAGAGAAGTTTATGCTTTGCACATGCTGGCAAATGGTTTCTGCATCGCTGTGCTTTAGTCAAGAGTCCTCAGCATGCAGGCAGCGGATGCTATGAGGTAAACACCATGATCATCGTCGTCGTCATGCAGCAGGTCCTTGGGCAGAAAGTCACTCTCATCACCATCTGAAAGAAACTTGGTCTCTCGCCAGCTCTCTGGCCTGGTGCATCTTCATATCCACTGAGTCACTGATATCATGTGTCCATCTTCATGTTGGTAGGCCCCTGCCTCTCCTTCCTGGCAACATGCTTTATGCTATTATTATGTTTTTTCTAGTCGGCTGTGGCGCTTGATATGGGCAGAATATTTTAGCTTCCGAGACAAGTTGCTGTTCATAGATAGTCTTCCTAGAAGCTCAAATCTGTTAGAATGTATTTCTTTTCTTCTTTGTTCATGGTACTCTGAGAATCTTTCTACATTTCAGCTCAAAAGCCCCTATTCTGTATTCTCTCAAAATTATAACTTTGATGTCCCTGCTGGTGCTCAATCATAAAAGTTTAAGGCTGGAAGGGAGAGATGAATAAAAGTGTATGGTAAAACTACATCTTCAGTAATCATGACCGGTTCAAGTTTTACGTGTTTATGTGTGTGTTTTGTGTGTGTGTGTATATTCAGTCTTTCTGCCAGTGGTTTTTAGATGAGAAGGCCGCAGACCTAGGTGAAGGCTGTGGTGTGATGTGTGTCTTCCACTTATCTATACAGCTTGGTTTCAACCAGAATGCTAACTGGCCAGACTTGACAGCTCTCTTGTTATGTTATCACAATCGACGTCACTGCACATTGGGCATTCCCATGCATGCTCAGTCCTCCGTTGCAGCAGCTAATCTAAAGCTCTTCTACTAATTGTTTCCATGAGAAGCTGGTTATATTGTCTTATATCTCGGCCTCGAAGGCGGCATAGACCTGCTTCACCATGCTTAACTCCCATGTCACGCAACCGTGTTAGTGTCAGGGATTCCTCATCATCCACTAGCCCAGTCCGTACAGCGTTGATGATATCTGCTCTGTCCATGCTTCTTCCCGCAATCCTTAGGGCAGTGCTTGCCAGTTGGTCCGCTCGTTCATGCAATTTTCGAAATGCTTTCTCCCCATTCAGAGCGCATAAGGCCTGTCGCTATCGTCTGAAGCATATTCATGAGAGCTCCCTGCTAAATGTAAAGTGAATGTCTTCAGCACATGTTCAGTGGTGCCTGTACACATGGGCAAAGTTCTGAGTCCCCAATCTTGAAATCTTGGTACACATGGCCATGAAATCTGTCACATCCAGTTCACAGTCTAGATTAGGGTGCGTTTCTTTCAAATCTGGAGGTTGATTGTGTCTTCAGGATTGTGTATTGGATAAGGATATTTGTTTGATGTTTACTCTACAAGAGGATGAAGTTTGGGGCATTTCTTCCTCTTACTTCTTTTCTTCTTCATGGGCAAAGTTCTGAGTCCCCAATCTTGTACTTCATTGAAGTATGGGCGGGGAATCGTGTAACAGTTTCAGTTGATGAGTTCTTTCTTTCAAGAGCACTAGGTAGGACTGATCTTTCATTTCTGTAAGGCTGTTCCTAATGCCATCACTCTATCTTTGTTTCCCGCGGTCTTCCACTCGCTCTATATTGGGGCATTTCTTTTTGTAACTTCTTCTCTTTTAGTGTTGCACCTGCTGTGGCAGATTGCTACCAGGACATGTGTTTGTTAGGTGTGGATAAACCACTTCATTTGTTGTTCATTTGATGACATTGTAAGATCTGGCTTTATTTGCTAGCATTCGTCTGATTTCGTGATTTTGTATTGTCTTTTCTTGAAACTCCTGCAGCTCTTCTAAGGCATGTTATCTCTGTTGTTACAATGTTACGTTCATTGAAGCCTGTTAATATTCTTTCTTTTCACCGGCTGTAAACTCTATTGGAAAGTTCTGGTTGTTTGACCACCTCTGGACTTTAGTCTTGTTTCAGAACTTTAGTGTTGTGTGCACATCTTTTTACAGATCTCTGCCTCTCAGGCAGATGCATTCTGACTTCGAAGGAAGGTCCCAGTTAGTGGGCTCCTACAACATGCTTTTGGGTTTACAGTGCTGGTCTGAAATCTAGTTTGTTTTCACCCACAAAGGGGCCTAATTTGTTAACCCTCACGGAGAGGGGCTAATTTGATTAACACTTGATGATCAAGTAGTTTGTTTTTTGTTCGGATAAGAAATCTCATTTGTTAACTTTGTGGCCAAAACATTTGATTCCTGGGCATTGTATGATCAAGACACTTAATTTGCTAACACTTGATGATCAAGAAATCTAATTTGTTAACACTTGATGATCAAGAAACCTAATTTGTTAACACTTCATGGAAAAAACATTGACCAAAGTGGTGCAGATCACATCACCCATTGAAAGCGAGTTTTCCCTTGTGGATTCTGCTGCCTCGTTTTTGGGGCATAACAAAAAGAAATAGACCCCCCCACTTCCTTTCCTGAAAAACATGCCTTACAAGACAACTTAGGAGTATTTCCTTCAAAGTCAGAGTACATCTGCCTCTGGGAGGTGAAGAACCAACAGTCTGCACACAAATAAGACAGACTTGTAAAGTGGATGGGCATGCAAAACTCATATATCTGGGACAAGACCAAAGTCTAGGAGTGGATGAACAACCAGAACTTTCCACCAGAGTTTGCAATCAGTGATACTAAGAAAAAGAAGAAGAAAAAGAAGAATGATTCCTCACTGATTAGCCTGCATACCCTAAGTGTACCTAGTGGAGCAGCAAGACAAGAAAATTATGCGGAAGCCACCTGTCTTTACATCAGCCAGAGTAGTTGTTAGCCTAAAAACACTTAGAGGCATACATGAGAAGAGATCTGAGCACCTATGAGCATATCTGATAAATGATAAAAATGATCTTTAAATACAAAATGAACAAAACAAGAAGGCCAGTTGGTCTGTAATATTACGACTCCAGTACTTTATGCTCAATGTGCCAATGGTGGGACAAAAAACCTTTGTTAATACATCAATCATACTCTTACAGGATCCTCGCTGGTCCTGTGGAGCTTAGTGCATTGTGCTTGAGATCCTCCTGTGTTACCTGGAGACTTACTTAGGAGGAGATCAGAGCACTTATGGTTGTAGGGATGTTCAGTGTAGGATTAATGTAAGGAGTTGGATTGGTTGGTAGATACTGTAGCAGCTACCGTTGGTGGGGAAAAGTCCTTTACTAATACGTCACACTCTTACTGTAGCAGCTACCGTTGGTGGGAAAAAGTCCTTTACTGATCCGTCACACTCTTACTGTAGCAGCTACCGTTGGTGGGGAAAAGTCCTTTACTGATACGTCACACTCTTACTGTAGCGGCTACCGTTGGTGGGAAAAAGTCCTTTACTGATACGTCACACTCTTACTGTAGCAGCTACAGTTGGTGGGGAAAAGTCCTTTACTGATACGTCACACTCTTAATGTAGCAGCTACCGTTGGTGGGAAAAAGTCCTTTACTGATACGTCACACTCTTAATGTAGCAGCTACTGTTGGTGGGAAAAAGTCCTTTACTGATACCTCACACTCTTAATGTAGCAGCTACCGTTGGTGGGAAAAAATCCTTTACTGATACGTCACACTCTTACTGTAGCAGCTACTGTTGGTGGGAAAAAGTCCTTTACTGATCCGTCACACTCTTACTGTAGCAGCTACCGTTGTTGGGGAAAAGTCCTTTACTGATACGTCACACTCTTACTGTAGTAACTATCATTGGTGGGGAAAAGTCCTTTACTGATACGTCACACTCTACTGTAGCAGCTACCGTTGGTGGGGAAAAGTCCTTTACTGATACGTCACACTCTTACTGTAGCAGCTACCGTTGGTGGGGAAAAGTCCTTTACTGATACGTCACACTCTTACTGTAGCAACTATCGTTGGTGGGGAAAAGTCCTTTACTGATACGTCACACTCTACTGTAGCAACTATCGTTGGTGGGGAAAAGTCCTTTACTGATACGTCACACTCTTACTGTAGTAACTATCATTGGTGGGGAAAAGTCCTTTACTGATACGTCACACTCTTACTGTAGTATCTACAAATCGGTTCACAAAAGTCCTTTACTATGATACGTCACACTCTTACTGTAGTAACTATCATTGGTGGGGAAAAGTCCTTTACTGATACGTCACACTCTTACTGTAGTAATGTTATCATTGGTGGGGAAAAGTCCTTTACTGATACGTCACACTCATACTGTCGTAACTACATTGGTGGGGAAAACCTTTACTGATCCGTCACACTCTTACTGTAGTAACTATCATTGGTGGGGAAAAGTCCTTTACTGATGTACGTCACACTCTTACTGTAGTAACTATCATTGGTGGGGAAAAGTCCTTTACTGATAGTCACACTCTTACTGTAGTAACTATCATTCATGGGGAAAAGTCCTTTACTGTACGTCACACTCTTACTGTAGTAACTATCATTGGTGGGGAAAAGTCCTTTACTGATACGTCACACTCTTACTGTAGTAACTATCATTGGTGGGGAAAAGTCCTTTACTGATACGTCACACTCTTACTGTAGTAACTATCATTGGTGGGGAAAAGTCCTTTACTGATACGTCACACTCTTACTGTAGAATCTACAAATCGGTTCACATTGGCTTTCTATGTATATTCCAGTTCAGCTGTATAGCTGGAGTGGGCCTGGTCATCAAGGCCCAGAACCAGACGTACAGATGTTACAAGCAGCAGCAGGTCCTTAATGTGGTCTTTCATTCTTCGAAGTACATTCATCAGGGAACCATTGTTTGTCCGCCATGTGATGAGATTTGTAAGGTAGGCAGCAGTACATTCATCAGGGAACCATTGTTTGTCCGCCATGTGATAAGATTTGTATGGTAGGCAGCAGTACATTCATCAGGGAACCATTGTTTGTCCGCCATGTGATGAGATTTGTAAGGTAGGCAGCATTATATTTGCAGCTGTACATTCATCAGGGAACCATTGTTTGTCCGCCATGTGATGAGATTTGTAAGGTAGGCAGCAGTACATTCATCAGGGAACCATTGTTTGTCCGCCATGTGATGAGATTTGTAAAGTAGGCAGCAGTACATTCATCAGGGAACCATTGTTTGTCCGCCATGTGATGAGATTTGTAAGGTAGGCAGCAGTACATTTATCAGGGAACCATTGTTTGTCCGCCATGTGATGAGATTTGTAAGGTAGGCAGCAGTACATTCATCAGGGAACCATTGTTTGTCTGCCATGTGATGAGATTTGTAAGGTAGGCAGCAGTACATTCATCAGGGAACCATTGTTTGTCCGCCATGTGATGAGATTTGTAAGGTAGGCAGCATTATATTTGCAGCATTCATACTTTGAGTACAGTAACCGTCAGTGAGTTGTTAAATCTTCATCATTCTCTTCTGTTCCTTGTCCTGGTTTCTAAATTTCAGTGCTTTTCGTATGCTGTTGGCTGGGAAAATTCCTATAGTGTGACCACACACATAAAGCAAGTTCTACATCAAGGCACACTGGTAGGTGGCAACTCTGGCATGGCGATTCCAGCTGACATCCGCTGAAGTGGAGTATGTAGTTGACCTCGCAGATTGTGACTCATCATGTCACATCAGCTTCAAGTTTCTGCAAAAATACTAAATTGACAGCTGCAGATTTTATCCATGTAATTCCATTTTCTGTTCAATGGGAATCTGTAAAAAGTCTGATTGAATTGTTTATAATAAATAAATTGTTACATAATCAGTTCTTTATCACATTTTCTGAACCAAGTTTTATTTCATCCATCGCAGCATGAGGGGGTGGTCTGCCCAGCTGACAGAGAGCCACCAGCCGGCACTCAACTTCCACAATTTGACAACACATTTTGTAGAGGTTGTTGTCAGTCATCACAGCAACACAGGGCATTGTTTCTTGTTTCAGTTTTATGTTATGTTCTGTCCAGATAGTTCCTACTGATTAATAGATCTTCAAATGTAATTACTTGCATTATATTTATGTTAGTTTTACCGTCCCCTAGTACTTCCATAACAGTAATTATTTAGAATGTTGATAACTTACATAAAAGTAGTTATATTGTAGGGTAATTAACCCCATTGCAGTAGTTTTGTAGTAGATTAGTTCCATAGCAGTAGTCCAATACTAGTTTCATTATCTCCCTGCAGTCAGTAGTCCTAGGGTACTACTTTTGTTGCATCTGATACAGATGTTAATAAACATTAGAAGTATTAGTCAACTTTACAAAATTATGGAAGTCGCACACCCAGCTTCTCCATTTTCTCATTTGTAACTAGTTGTATAGTTTTTTTTAATATTGTCTTTTAATAATTTATAAGTTTTTCTTTCCACCTTGTTTGTATTGTACTTGATGCAAATTGTCAAAACCAAAATTTCATACATTTTTGGTGTGTTTTGTGACTTTAAATCTTTTTTTGGGGAGGGTCCCTATTAATGAATTTTTGTTCATTTGCTCTCAATAATTCCCCATCATTCATGTATGTTACAAAGTTGACACAGTATGTGATGTGTTTTTATCCACCGTGTGGTTCTTGTAAGGCTTGTGTTTGTGCTTGATGTTTCTCCACAGGGTAATACTATTTACATTGTTTATTTGTTTGTTTGTTTCATTGTATGGTATCTTATATAGTTAGTTTCCATGGCTAGCCAAAATGAGCAACCCAGGTGTTTTATAAAGAGGCGAGGAGCTGAAGACAGATTATCACAAACACCAGAAGGAAGCATCATTTTTTAATCACATTATAAAAAGTGGAAAATGGAAGATGTGACCACTGGAATAATTTGGGGCAGGAGAAGATATTGTGTGTAATGAGGCAAGTAAAACTGGAAAATATGGCGCCAGGAAGTTTTGATGTGTAATCAGAGAAGGTTAACTGGAAAATGTGATGCCAGGCGATTTGATGTGTGATAAGACATGGTGAACTGGAAAGTGTGACGCCAGGAAGATTTGGTGTGTATTGAAAAATGATGACCTGGAAAATGTGACGCCAGGAAGATTTGGTGTGTATTGAGATATGGTGACCTGGAAAATGTGATGCCAGGAAGATTTGGTGTGTATTGAGATATGGTGACCTGGAAAATGTGACGCCAGGAAGATTTGGTGTTTATTGAGATATGGTGACCTGGAAAATGTGATGCCCGGAAGATTTGGTGTTTATTGAGATATGGTGACCTGGAAAATGTGACGCCAGGAAGATTTGATGTGTAAAGAGACAAAGTTAACTGAAAAATATATGATGCGAGGAAGATTTGATGTGTAATGCACCAAGGTCAACTGAATAATGTGACAGCATAAAGATTTGGTGTGTAATAAGACAAGGTAAACTAGAAAATGTGATACCAGGAAGTTTTGATGTGTAATAAGACAATGTGAACTGGTAAATATGATGCCAGGAAGGTTTATTGTCTAATGAGGCAAGTAAAACTGGAAAATTTGACACCATGGAGATTGTATGTGTAATAAAACAAGGCGAACTGGACAATGTGACGCCAGGAAGATTTGATATGTAATCAGACAAGATCAACTAGAGAATGTGACGCCAGGAAGATTTGATGTGTAATCAGACAAGATCAACTAGACAATGTGATGCCAGGAAGATTTGATGTGTAATCAGACAAGATCAACTGGACAATGTGATGCCAGGAAGATCTGATGTGTAATCAGACAAGATCAACTAGAGAATGTGATGCCAGGAAGATTTGATGTGTAATCAGACAAGATCAACTAGAGAATGTGACGCCAGGAAGATTTGATGTGTAATCAGGCAAGATCAACTAGAGAATGTGATGCCAGGAAGATTTGATGTGTAATCAGGCAAGATCAACTAGAGAATGTGATGCCAGGAAGATTTGATGTGTAATCAGGCAAGATCAACTAGAGAATGTGATGCCAGGAAGATTTGATGTGTAATCAGACAAGATCAACTAGAGAATGTGATGCCAGGAAGATTTGATGTGTAATCAGACAAGATCAACTAGAGAATGTGACGCCAGGAAGATTTGATGTGTAATCAGACAAGATCAACTAGAGAATGTGATGCCAGGAAGATCTGATGTGTAATCAGACAAGATCAACTAGAGAATGTGACGCCAGGAAGATTTGATGTGTAATCAGGCAAGATCACTTAGAGAATGTGATGCCAGGAAGATTTGATGTGTAATCAGGCAAGATCAACTAGAGAATGTGATGCCAGGAAGATTTGATGTGTAATCAGACAAGATCAACTAGAGAATGTGACGCCAGGAAGATTTGATGTGTAATCAGACAAGATCAACTAGAGAATGTGATGCCAGGAAGATTTGATGTGTAATCAGACAAGATCAACTAGAGAATGTGATGCCAGGAAGATTTGATGTGTAATCAGACAAGATCAACTAGAGAATGTGACGCCAGGAAGATTTGATGTGTAATCAGGCAAGATCAACTAGAGAATGTGATGCCAGGAAGATTTGATGTGTAATCAGGCAAGATCAACTAGAGAATGTGATGCCAGGAAGATTTGATGTGTAATCAGGCAAGATCAACTAGAGAATGTGACGCCAGGAAGATTTGATGTGTAATCAGGCAAGATCAACTACCTGAGAGAATGTGACGCCAGGAAGATTTGATGTGTAATCAGGCAAGATCAACTAGAGAATGTGATGCCAGGAAGATTTGATGTGTAATCAGGCAAGATCAACTAGAGAATGTGATGCCAGGAAGATTTGATGTGTAATCAGGCAAGATCAACTAGAGAATGTGACGCCAGGAAGATTTGATGTGTAATCAGGCAAGATCAACTAGAGAATGTGATGCCAGGAAGATTTGATGTGTAATGTGTAATCAGGCAAGATCAACTAGAGAATGTGATGCCAGGAAGATTTGATGTGTAATCAGGCAAGATCAACTAGAGAATGTGATGCCACGAAGATTTGATGTGTAATCAGACAAGATCAACTAGAGAATGTGACGCCAGGAAGATTTGATGTGTAATCAGACAAGATCAACTAGAGAATGTGATGCCAGGAAGATTTGATGTGTAATCAGACAAGATCAACTAGAGAATGTGACGCCAGGAAGATTTGATGTGTAATCAGACAAGATCAACTAGAGAATGTGATGCCAGGAAGATTTTGATGTGTTAATCAGACAAGATCAACTAGAGAATGTGACGCCAGGAAGATTTGATGTGTAATCAGGCAAGATCAACTAGAGAATGTGATGCCAGGAAGATTTGATGTGTAATCAGGCAAGATCAACTAGAGAATGTGATGCCAGGAAGATTTGATGTGTAATCAGGCAAGATCAACTAGAGAATGGGATGCCAGGAAGATTTGATGTGTAATCAGGCAAGATCAACTAGAGAATGTGATGCCAGGAAGATTTGATGTGTAATCAGACAAGATCAACTAGAGAATGTGACGCCAGGAAGATTTGATGTGTAATCAGACAAGATCAACTAGAGAATGTGATGCCAGGAAGATTTGATGTGTAATCAGACAAGATCAACTAGAGAATTTGACGCCAGGAAGATTTGATGTGTAATCAGACAAGATCAACTAGAGAATGTGATGCCAGGAAGATTTGATGTGTAATCAGACAAGATCAACTAGAGAATGTGACGCCAGGAAGATTTGATGTGTAATCAGGCAAGATCAACTAGAGAATGTGATGCCAGGAAGATTTGATGTGTAATCAGGCAAGATCAACTAGAGAATGTGATGCCAGGAAGATTTGATGTGTAATCAGGCAAGATCAACTAGAGAATGTGATGCCAGGAAGATTTGATGTGTAATCAGGCAAGATCAACTAGAGAATGTGACGCCAGGAAGATTTGATGTGTAATCAGGCAAGATCAACTAGAGAATGTGATGCCAGGAAGATTTGATGTGTAATCAGGCAAGATCAACTAGAGAATGTGACGCCAGGAAGATTTGATGTGTAATCAGACAAGATCAACTAGAGAATGTGATGCCAGGAAGATTTGATGTGTACTCAGACAAGATCAACTAGAGAATGTGACGCCAGGAAGATTTGATGTTTATTCAGACAAGATCAACTAGAGAATGTGACGCCAGGAAGATTTGATGTGTAATCAGACAAGATCAACCAGACAATGTGACGCCAGGAAGATTTGATGTGTAATCAGACAAGATCAACTGGACAATGTGATGCCAGGAAGATTTGATGTGTAATCAGACAAGATCAACTAGACAATGTGACGCCAGGAAGATTTGATGTGTGTTGAGACATGGTGAACTGGAAAATATGACAACAGGATTATTGGAAGGTGCACAACATAGGTGTAAGACAATTGGAAGTTGCGCAACATAAGCGTAAGACAATTGGAAGGTGCACAACATAGGCGTAAGACATTGGAAGTTGCGCAACATATGCATAAGACAATTGGAAGGTGCACAACATAGGCGTAAGACAATTGGAAGGTGCACAACATAGGCGTAAGACATTGGAAGTTGCGCAACATAAGCGTAAGACAATTGGAAGGTGCACAACATAAGCGTAAGACAATTGGAAGGTAAGCAACATAAGCGTAAGACAATTGGAAGGTAAGCAACATAAGTGTAAGACAATTGGAAGTTGCGCAACATAAGCGTAAGACAATTGGAAGGTGCACAACATAGGCGTAAGACATTGGAAGTTGCGCAACATAAGCGTAAGACAATTGGAAGGTGCACAACATAAGCGTAAGACAATTTGAAGGTAAGCAACATAAGTGTAAGACAATTGGAAGATGCACAACATAAGCGTAAGACAATTGGACTGTGCACAACATAGGCGTAAGACAATTGGAAGGTGCGCAACATAAGCGTAAGACAATTGGAAGGTGCACAACATAAGCATAAGACAGTTGGAAGGTAAGGCAACATAAGTGTAAGACAATTGGAAGATGCACAACATAAGCGTAAGACAATTGGACGGTGCACAACATAA